ATTCCATGTAAAAATAGTCGAATAAAAATCAGATTAAAAATCGATTATAATGGCACTATTATAATCTGATTTTAAATAGATTTTTCAGCTTTAAAAGACTATTCCTTTTTATGTTGATTTCATTTTAATCTATTTTAATTGAATACTACAACCACAATAATAATCGACTAAAAAAAGATTAAAATGAAATCAAAATTTAAAAAAAATTGTATGTTAAAGCTGAAATATCTGATTAAAATCAGATTACAATACTGCCATTATTATTAATTTTTAATCCAATTTTTAATTCAAATCTTTTACAAGGAAATTTTTGGCTTCTTGAAGGCAATTGAAGTTATATCTATACCCTGCCCTGTCCTGCAGGGCAGGACAGGTTGGAAAAAAGTGCCCTGTGGACATCTCTGGTTCTAAGTATTATGTTTGTCGTTGAATTTTATTCAAAATAAATATATTTGTAGAAATAAGCATACGTGCTATGTTTGTACATATGAAATAGATTCGCATTCGAAAACAAGAATTGCTCACGAGAGCATCCAACCAACTGATGGGTGTAGGTATGAGATAAGTCAACAACTATACCCACCCCTATATATGCTAAATTGAATTTTGTCTTTTCTTCTTCTTTACTTTTCAATAGTGGAAAAGACAAACAAGAAAATAGATAATATATTTTCTCTTTCTACTTCAGTGTTACCGTCTTGTTGTCATCCGTTCCACTATTGAAAAATAAAGAAGAAGAAAAGAGAAAATTCAATCTTGTACATATATATATATTTATACGTGTGTTACTCATTTGTCAATCAATTTTTGTGTAACAACCTGATGAAGAAGGACGTGTCCTTCGAAACGTCGTGAAATAAATAAATAATATTAATAAAAAAAGGAAGAATAAAACAATTCTCACACAAATATTATGTCCTTTCTAGCAATCCCTGATTTACAGGAATCTTTCTCCCATTAGTATCTGATTTTCAGTACGTCCAGAACACGACTCTTCTACTTTTCATATAGAGATACTCTGTTTTTTCGACATCATAATTACATCATTTGTGCAACACTAGTACGAGAAAACGAGCTCTATTAATTGGCATTATTTTGAAGGAGAGTGGATGTGGATATAGGGGTGATTACAGATGTAAGTGTTTTAAGAGAAGACACATTCACGCCATTAGTGATTGACGGAAAATTTCTGAATTAAAAAAAAAGACTATTTTCGCTGTTATTAGTCCTATCATCATATGTCGTCAAAATGAATTTGTGAGTTCAGAATATTTAGCTATATTTCTAAAAAAGTTAGCTCCATAAAATTGGATAATTTTCGTCGAAATCGGAATCTATCGATTGAGTAGCTATATTTCGACGTCGAGTGTAGCTCTTTTGCAATGACTTATACACAGTCAACAAATATTAATTTTTTTCTTTTTTATTCTTCAATCCAGTCAGATTTTAAGCTAAATTATTTATTTTGTGTCAATTAAATAATTGAAATTGTTTCAGTTAATAAAATTGTTTGCAAATATAATTATTTCCTAAATAATAAAAGTGTTAGATTATTTTTTATTGAATATGTCAATTAATTAAGTATATTTCTTTTCAAAGGTTATTTTTCATTTAAGTTTGTTATAGAATAATTGAATATTCGATTAAATAAATAAATCTAAAAAAATATCTGTTTATAATTTAGTTAAGAAAATAAAAATTTGCTTTTTTCTATTTAAGATATATATTAGATGATAGACAACTTGATTTATGATCTTGTTTGACTTAATTTAAAGATAAATAATAATAACAATAATAAATAAAATGCAATTAAAGAAGTTTAATGAAAAAAAAAATATCTAGAATAAAAGAAAAAAACTTTGTTTATTTAAAATGTTTGATTACTTAAGATGATGTTGTTAAAGAAGAGCTAATAGTAAATGAATAAAAAATATTTGGATCAGTTATTATCCATTGAGGATTATTTAAGATAAATTGGTTTCTTAATGAATTTGAAGAAAGAGATTTAGCATAAGCATAAGTTGTTTCATTTGGTGATAGATTTTTCATTATTTTAAGATAAAGTTTAAATAAAGAAGATTTAGCTAATGGACTTGCATATTCTTGTTTATGTCGATTTTTTTTAGTTAATCCTAATGAATATCCATCAACAGTAACGATAGCAGACGATAATGGTAAATATAACCACCATGCTATTGACATTGAACAAGGACGAATTCGTTCTAATGATGGACCATCTTCAAATTTTTGATTTACACAATAAACATCTACATTTGGAAATATTGATGATAAATCTTTATCTGTATTTATAATTAAACCAGTTAATTGAATAGGTTTTTCAATAAATTGATTTAAAAGTGTTCCTTCAATACCTATTTCAATTATTTTTAAATAAAAACAAAAACAAAACAAAGAAAGAAAAACCTTGATAAATCCACCGATTTATTTTATTAGTACATGAAAGACTTGTTGTTGGATGACCTTTTCCTGGTTTTAAATAAAGTTGTTTTTCTATTTGATTTGAATTTAAAGATTTATGTTCAAACTTTGGTCTTTTTAGTGGATCAGCTAAAAAAGCAGCTTCTCCACAAGGTGGATATGATATAAACATATATAAACGAATTGATTTATTTAAATTATATTTATATTTATCTTGTTTAATTAAAATCTTATTGTTATCATTAATTATTTCTTGATAAAAAAATTTTAATAAAGCTCTTCGTGCAATAACTTCAGCATGAGAATCATGTAATAAACAACCTTGTCTTTCACTTTGTTTTATATCTCCAGATAAACATTTTGTACCTGTACCTATTGAAATAACATCGATTTGATTAAATTCATTTACTGAAACAAAAGCTGCTAAATGAGTCCATTCATTTGATGATGGTTTTCCACGAGAATGTAATTCATTATATTTATTATAACAAGATAATGCTATTTTTTCACATAAATCATCTTTTTCTTCAAATGATCGTTTCATTTTTATTACTTTTTTTTTATTCAAATATACATACGAGTTTTATTTGATTTTCTTTATCTTTATTTACAAATCTAATTTAAACTTAGCCTTTTGTTAAAAATAATTAAATAGGAATTAATTTATCATCAAATCGAATGTGAATCATATATATCTAGAATATACTAATTAATAGATTTCGAAAATAAAAACTCCCTATAGAATTGTCTCTCTTGTTATTTATTATTGATATGGGACTAGTTATTGAAAAAAAAATTTTTTAAATCTATAATGTAACTATGTTCGATGTAATTATGCTTATAATTAATGTAAATAAATATGTCCAATTAAAATGATTCGAAAAAGATCTAAGATAAATGGATCAGTCAATTTATTTTCATAATAGAATATTTTTTATAAATAATTTAAATGATTTTCTATATATTATATTATATTCATTCATTGATTAATAAACATTGAAATTATTTGTTGATTTTTACAACCAATCATAATCGTTTACAACAATATATATTTATTTATATGGATTTATATATAAATTTATAGAATATGATTGATTCAATCAATAATTTTTCTCGATAAATGTTAATTGATGAATAAAAATAGTTGATATCGAATAAATCTATTCCAAGAATAAAATCACTCTCGATTAAAAATTTATTTTTTCCTTTATATGAATGAATTTTTCAATCTTACTTTATTATCAACTGAGATAAGATTGACATTCAATTTTTCTCTTTTATTGTATTTTCAAGTTTACCGTGCAACTATTTAGATTTCTTTTCACCGTTTTTTCAATTATTCAGTTAAAAATTGAAAACAAAATCTCTCTTTCAATCAGATAAACTATTCATTGAATATTTTTACAAAATAAAAGGTCCGAATCGTTGAATAGATGTAAAGACCTGTAATAATTAAATCCAATTTTCATATTAGGCACTAATTCTAGTCTACTTTTTTTTCATTTGAACAACGAATATAACTTATTGAATTTATCTATTTTTCTTTTTCTTTTTTTTCTCATTCTCAATTATCATTTTATTAAACTTTGAATAATTAAAAAAAATTCTTTGATGAATTTGAAAGAATTTCTTTTCAAAAAACAAACTGTAAACAAATCAAAAGTTCAATAAAAAAAAACATTTGAATTTATACTTGTCAAGGACTTTTTGATTAAGTTAGTCTAATCTGTTTAATACAAATAGTCTTATTCGAAAGTAGTTGCACACTTCTTCAATCTTTTCAATTGTCAAAGTATAACTTAGTCATTATTAAAATACTTATTAATGATAATTTTGCTCAAAATTGATTCAAAGTCATAAGATTAATTAAAATTTAATTATTTTCGTCAATGAAATATATCGAAAAATATTCAGCGTCGAAATTTATTCAATGATGATTATTTGAACGGAGTTTATTTTTATTTAGTTTGAACTTCCCGCTAGTCTTTGTTCACTTTCTCAAAATACAGTTTCACAAAATCAAATTAATCTTGGCAATAATAAATTTGTTACGATTTATCTTCTTTCTGAATTGCAAGTTCAATCTGAAGTAAATGCCACTGTTCAATTCTTTAAAAACAATGCATCTACTCAAATTAATTCATTTGTAAACTATCTCAGAACCATTATTCAAGCAAACTATTTAGTTTCGGCTCTTAATACAAATTTAGTGATTGCAATTTCTGGTAGTGTATATGAGTACTATGTTACGGAATACGAACCACAATATTATTCAGCCAATAGTGGTGTCTATTCGATCGAATACATGAAAACTTGTGGCAATGCAAATCCAACTAGTCGAGCTATTTTCGATGATTCATTAAACAGTTCGAAACTATTCTACTTTGTATCCTGAACTGATCCGCTACCAAATTCTAAGTTCGTCAATGGATTCTTTGCAGGATGTACTCCTTTTGAATCTCTTCTTCAAAGTACACTCGATTGTTTATATGATATAAAATGTCTTCAGTTAGTAGTCAATTACTTTCCAGGCCTTAACCAGGTATGTATAACATTATTTTATCTTTCTTAGATATTCTTTTTATCTAGGTGCAATTCAATTGGACCGATTTTGTTCTACCATCAAAACAACAAACTATTTCTAGTGTCTTATAAGGCAAATGTACACCAATTCATCCAAAAGCTAAACTTGTTTAAAGTGGCTGACGATCGAACAGAAAACAGTATCAAACAACAGAGGATTGTTACTCGTGTCTATTTGATCCTGCTAATTAGTATGATTATTTTTATTAAATATTTTCTTGCTATTACTAAAGATGAAAATAAATCTCTTGATTAGAGATGATTAATAAATGTTGTGTTTCTGAGTTATTTAATTTCCGATAAAGGTGGCTGACTGCATATTATACTGATTACAAGGGATTAGCGGGCGATTCCAGTAGTACAAACTTAATTCATACTTGAATGATCTTCGTTTATACTTCAACATTGCACTTGAAAAATTCAATAAATTATCAGTGATAGTACTTTTTCCATGTGTGTCGACTTTGATAGATGATTATTTAAAAATGAAAAATTAGAGTATTCGGATTATATGTATAGAAATTTTTCCGATATAGACAGTTTTCAACTTGTTTTTATTTTAAATAGAACTTGACACTTGGCATAGAAATTCACTCGTTAGATTTTAATGAAAGCCTATCGGATCCAACAGGTCCTCAATGAAAACTCAAAATTAACCTTTTAGTTTTTTCATGTCTTTTCTTTTAAGAAAATCTAGATTGCGTACTTAATCACTCTGATAGAAAAATAAAACTGTGCATAAATGAGCCGTATCTTGCCACGGTCCTATTCAATGAAATACGATATGATCACAATGACATTATAATACATATGCGACCGTATACGGCGAAAGCACGACAAGTCGTAAACATTGATCAAAACAATAAGAATCTTTGTTCATGTATTGAAAATCATTTGAAAAGTGCTAGATTTTTCTAGGTAAACATTTAAAACATACCAATTCGAAATTGATCTTAAAACGAATATAATGTCCATTATCACAAGCGACACATAGTTTTGTTGATTTATAGAAAAATGTATTTGCAATCAATTTGAATGTGATCTATTAAGAATATCTTAATTTCATTTAAAATGTTTGATAAGAGAAGTTAAATATTCTGATTGATATGTACATTTATCGAATCATAAATTTATAGTTTTCATCATCTCGCAACTTTTTCGCATTCAGAAATTTCAAGTTAGATCTGATTTCATAATATTAAGTCTACTCTCCGCAAATAAAGATTGTTCAGTCTCATACAGACCTCAAATATAAAAAAAACTATATCTGTATTAACACGTTCATGTCTTATTTTTTGTATCATTAGGCTCATTTCTCATTCTTCTTCTCTTCACTTCGCTGAATACTCAAACAGTTCCAGTAACTGCATCAAATCCATCATTAATCATTTTTAACGATTTACAAGTCTTATATTCGAATACACTCAAATGTCCTTGTTCTACAATAGCAATACCTTATAATTCATTCATCTCATTGTCTACAATCTCGCATCAAGTGTGCTCAAGTGATTTTATTACTGATCCTTGGCTTTCAATATTGAAAAAGGCCATGAATACGTTTACTTCTATGGATTGGCGTAATCTAGCTTCATCACAATTTGAATTGTTGTTGAACCTTTGTCAATGGGCTCATAAAACGATCAATGATGCTGTTCATCGCTTTGTCTTGCAATCATTCATTACTTCAGATGTACTCACCGAAATCGATTTCAATTCACAATTAAATGCAACTCTCAATCAATTTTTTCAATCAACAATTGCCTATTTTGATCTTCTTGTTAACACATTCAACCTTTGTATACAAGTTGATCAACCTTATATGGGATCACGACAAATGTTTTACAGTGCAATGGAATCAAACTTAATCGTAAATAATGTAATATAGGACATGAACAATCAGAAATCATTAGAGGCATAAACATTTACTTGCTCATGACAGATGTTAACATGATGTTAATGCAAAAGCATTAGCATTTTTTTAACAATAGTAACTTTACTATGAAAATGTGGAGAAAATATTTTTTAAACAAAACTATTGCACTTAAACATGTATCGAAATCAAGAATATTGTGTTTAGTCGATGTAAACTTCATTATATAAATTTCATCACCGTTCGAAATGATACTTAATTAAAAACATAAGTTTTATCGTGGTTTTGAATAAAATTCCATAGTTTTCCTAACAAAGTCATGATAATAGAAAAGAACTCGATTTTCTGACTTATGAAATAATGTTGCATATAGTTCAATCAAAAATAAAACAGAGTTAGTTTAGATCATATTATATTGAGAATCGTAATAATATTCAGACTTTTCACTTTATATTTTTACTCAATTTTCTCATTGGAAAATATGTGTTAATCCATAGAATAAATTATATGTTTAACAGATACGGCAATTTTTGTCTTGACATATCTTTAGTCATAGTTTTTAAAACATACATATCATAATATACTGAACTTCTGAAACATTGTCGTTGTGTTAACATTATGAAAGGTTACTTTTTAACGTCAGACGATTTAATTTATATTTGAAACTTGTAGACAAAGAATAACTTTCCTACGGCAGAATATGTTTGTCTACTATTTTTATTCCTAGATATATCTAATTAGAAAGAGAAAAAAAACAAACAACAGAAAGAATACGTGAATATAACAGATTGAATGCATAATATTCAAATAGAAACATTTATAATTACATAAAAATGAAAAAGGGAAAAACAGACATGGTAATAGAATATCAATAAGTTATAAAAAATTGCGCTAGACTATTCTTCTCTTCAAAGCTATAGCTAGTATCAGTTGTAGTAAAAAAATATTGGTCTAATAAAATTGTCTCCGGATAGGACTATTTATTGCAAGGTAGCCGAAAGATGGAGTATTCTTCTTCTTTAATAAGTTGTAGGTCATGATTCATCACAGTTGAATTTTTTAGAAACTTTTTCACAAGAACGATCTTCTGATGAATTTTATCTTTCAGAAAGTTTTTGTTTTTAATTGCAGAATGGACAAATGGTTTCCCAGAGTTAGTTTATAATGAAACAAAGACTTTTATTTTTCTTCTAGGCAACATTTCGTTTGATTGAAATTCATGATATTAATTCGACATTGGTCAATTGTATTTGTGCTACTAATCAGCATTGCCAGAGTTCGGTGGCAATTTACGAGTTGGCAAGTGGCTCCTCAGTCGATTATTCGGAAGACATGGTTTATACAGTGCCCAACTGGGTTCAAGGCTGTTCTGCTATTGATTTTCTTCTGCTCTCCACACTTAAGTGTTTCTATTCGAACTCAGAGTGTTTTCTTGTTCTAATGATTTACATACGAAAGAGATTTCCTGGTGGTATAACACAACCTTTATGGTTTGATGTTCGTCCTCTTGTTTATGATCCAATGTTGAGTCGTTTCCCTCCTGATACATCAATTAAAGTGATAGTTAAAAACATAATGATTGAATAATGGAATCCATCTTATTCCTACAGTCGCTTTTATGAATCATGCGCACCAAGTTACTGCATTTATTATAAAAAAATTCGCACAAAAACTATTATTAGAATGATGACAACATTGTTATCCATGATCGGAGGTCTTACTGTCTCACTACGTATAATTACATCTTATCTTGTTAAATTTATTTTTCACTTATATGGATTGATCATCAAAAGGCAACAACAAAAACAACGAGGTAATTGCTGATTCAATGTATATAAAAAGAATAAAGATTTATTATCTTAAAATAGTAAAGATCTATATCTAATGTAGTTTCTATAAGATAAGAATAAGTTTTTCGTAATATACGTTGATACTTAACAATTAATTACTAAATTCATTGTTGAAAGTCTCTTAAAATGAGTTTAACAGATTTTGTATTTGAAAACTACAGAACTATATCATTCGCCTCGTTGAATTTGAATCTAGATAAACTCAAAGTTAATTTGTTTGATAAATTTTTTAATAATTTTTCAATTGAATTCTTTTTTTTCTAAATTAGAGCCGAACATTGCGCATAAAAAAATGTTTTTTAAACTGAATTCAACAGAAATATTATCGTATGAAATCAATTAATATCAATATGCGTACAGTTCCAGAAATTCTAGAATTTTCCTCGCAGTTTTCCTACGTGAAGATCTGTAGTAGTAAAATCTTTCAATATAACATTCACAAGTCGAATTAAGATTTGTAATGCTTTTCATTTAGTCATAAGACTGACTAAAACATTACAAATTTTATCCACTAGTAATATAGATAAACAAGTCTTTTTTTTATTTTGATGTTTTTCTCGAAGTTTTCTAAATTTTAGCAAGAGATGCCATCACAATCTTCCAATTATCATTTTCGACGGCTGTCAGATGAGTTTTTGAGTTGGATTTTCAATATAGGATAGAAGTTTAGATATGAAAAAGATAAACATTGAATTTATTTGATAACAAGAGAGGATCTAACATTTGTTTTTCTATGCATAGCTCGTCTCAAGTGGTTGGATCAAGTAAAAATGATTAGGCAGAATCTAATCAAACTTTTGTATACTAACTTGGTCAATCTAAACATATTTCTTCTGCGAGATTTTGGAAGTAATATTGATCGAATGACAGCTAAACGTCTTGGTCAATGGGCTACTCGTCTCTACATTGCTCTGTTCATTATTGGTCTTTCTATTCTTGCCATTTACATCATAATTCAATCTGATACTCTGACAAAAACTTTTCAAAGACCATCTTTAGACTTATACAATGATCTCATACAAAAATATGAAAACAAATTGAAATGTTTATGCTCATTAATTGCATCGGCACGCAATCGATTTGTCAAAATTGAAGCAGAAATTCATGAGGTAAAAAGAAATTATGCTAATCTAATTAAAATGAAAGATGAAGTCTAAATGATGTTTTTGAAAGAACATCAATATCTTCATCTACAATATTTTCATCGAATATTTTTCTATCAGAAAAGCTTGTCAGCACAGCTTTCTTTGTGCTAAATAGTCAATGATTCAATGTCCCCATGTCCCGATCATTAAAAAAATATAACTAATGATAAACATATAAAGCAAATTGATGAGCAATTGAAATCTATATAATAGTTCAATGTTTCCATGTCCAAATAATAAAAAGGCCATTATATGTAACTCAGTCGAATTTAGAGCAGTTTAAAAAATACAAATAAATTATCTAACATTAACAAAAATAATAAAGCCATCATTTAGAATATAATCAAAAGGAAAAAATCATACAATAAGAGGAAACCACAATAAGACACTAAATAAATCAATAATAGCTACTTGATGTAGAAACAATCAGATTTATTTATATTTGTCAAAAACTAAGATAACATAAAATACGGAGTAAAACAATAAAATATACTGAAAGCTTTAAAATAAATTTGTTAATAAATGAAACTTATCTATTTCAATTTTAAGTAATTCAAATGTCAACTGTAACATAAACAACAGTTGAAAAACGGCAGTAAATCGTGTAAACCTTGTGCAATTACAAATTGACTAATGAACGTAAAATAACTTTAAGTATGTCAACCCTCCATATTTTCTCGTGATGATAACTGCTTTCATAAAGAAACAATGTTATGACCATTATGTAAATGGTGATAAAATTTCATCATTCAACATGGTATTTGTATTGCTAATAGTGTCAGTTATTGCTTGAAGTATCACTTATTTCTGTGGATCATTTTGAATTAGTAACCAAATAAAAGAGCCTCTCTATCTAAATGAGAAAAATTTTACCGATAGTACATACTATTTTTTTTATTATTAGTTTATACTAACTGGTAAAATTATTTATCACGCTTATATTTTTTTTCTATGTAAAAATGATCTTTCGTCAGTTTGAGATGTGTAGAATAAGCACTTTTTCTGTAACTTTATTCTATCCTAAAAAAAGAAATATATGTCTATTTGTAGATATTATAAATATAACTGTAATGATATATAGAAAATAATTCTCATTGATATCGTATAGATGATTCACTGTATTCAAGTTATTGACTTTAGAGTAACCATGTAAATAAAGCCATTTTAAACAGAAGAATCAGCAGAATAAGTGAATCATTTAAATACCAAGAAATATTCTAGAACCAAACACATTGAAATGAGTTTCTCAGCGGTTCCGACATCAACGATGAACGATACTTTAGAATAGTGCTATTTTTAATATGTGATAGATAATACGAAAAGTATCTGTTTCTGTTGGATAGTGTATTTTTATTAGATAATTTTGCCGACACTTGAGAACATTTGTAGAACTGTTCTGTTTCAACGAAATGTCTTCAACAGTTTGTTGACAAGAACAGTATAATATCTTTGTATTTATGTTATAGAAGCATGTGTCTATTACACCAAATCTTAATATGAAATGAGAATTATAAAAGAATTCTTCAGAAAAACTACTGTAGTGTCAGTGTTTTTTAAATAGCTCGATGCATGCTTAAAAATTTTCACAGAATAAAGAAGCAAAATACATTAGTTTGGCAGAAATATAAAAAATAAATATATCGATCGGAACAATAAAAAAAAAGAAAAGTTAAATAAAATTTACCATTGGCATTATTCTCATACTATTCAATAGACATCGACTACACATGTTTCTATTATCAATTGATGAAAAATGTTTGCTTGATTTCGAGTACTGTTATTGGCATGATTACTCAACGAAAGGAGAGCATAGATTGTTTGCACATTATTCTTAACGGTAACATAAGCCTTGAAACGTTTCCTTGCAAAAGATGCTATAATGTTTTATTTTGCTAAGAATTCATCAAGTTGAAATATAAGAAAGTGCGTATTTTCATCATTAGCTTCGTACAACGACTTTGTCTATTGATGATTACAAATAACTGTACGAATGCATTATTATTCAAAAGAATTTCCTAATGAAGATGTAAAATTGGATAGTGGATGTCAGTTCGAGTTTAGTGTGTTGGTAGACGATGGGACAACTGTCTATAAAACCAAAATTCACATCTTCATCAAGGTTTCTCTTATGATCTGCAATAGTTTGTCAGGAACTATTAAAAAACATAAGCAGTTACTCACGACACTATCATTATTGTGCTGACAGACTTAGAAAACATTGTTTAGACCTTCACATTAGAATATTTCTATTGAATCATTAATGATTCACGCACTTTACACAAAAAGATTTTCTCGAGTCTGTTGATGTGTGTATTTATCGTATAGACTAAATTAAATATTGTCGTTATTAGGCATTCGGTCTTTTTGATGTTGTAATATACCATTAAACTAAATTTGTTTCAAGAACAAAAAGTTCGAAGCATATGCAGATGAGTATGAACGATTGTAATGACTTGATATCAACTGTATATGAGAATAAATATATTTTTTCTTATTTTAAAGTTTTTTGTTTATATATATGTGAATATAAAATGTTACGAGTTTCAAAATAAAATACAATTTTTAATGTTTTCTACTTCATCTTGCTTTGCGATGTGTTTTCAGGTATAAAGATCTGTTGTTTTTATCTCGAGTGCAATACTAACTGTGTGCAAATCACTCAAGCATATCGTTTAGTGCACACGTTTCATTGTGTGCAATTTGCTGTGCGCTTGTTGTGTGAATCCGTTTGTTATAGACTATGTAACAAAGAAAAGATGAAAAAAAAACGAAAGAAAATTAGGCAAAATAACGAACGGTAAGAAATGAGTAAAGTTACCTTGCTGCAAAAGTGAAAAACTCTAATCATTGGGCAAAACAAGCAAACAGTATTACTCACCTGACATAAAATCTAAGTAACAGATTCACGATACATATTTTTCCCCATACATTGGATTTTGTTTGTTTCATCGTGGTGAGTAACGTATTAGAATGAGAGTCTGTAGAATGCCTGCCAATCAGAATTCTAAAATGTTGTAGATTTGCCCATATTAGATAGTAAATTAAACATAATGAAGAGTATAACATCTTTTTTTTTATTCACACTCATTGTTAGAGAAAATAATGATACTTTTAAAACAGAAATCTACCAAGAATTTTAAAAAGATAACAGAATTTCATCCAAATTCAAATCTCAGCTTCAGAAGATAAGCTTAATTATGTGTAACGCTCTTCGAAGAACAAAAGTATGCTGAGAATTTAAAAGAATCGCAAGAATTTGAATAAAACTATACAGCTCTAACTAAGAAGAAGACAAATTCTTCCAAAGCTCATTAATCAAAACAAAATTCTGCTTAGAATAATAAAAACCTTCAGAAATTCGGCAAAATTTCCCTATGCCCTAGTAGAAGACAATGTTTGCTGCAGTCATATTTGTCTAATATATTCTTGCTCTACATACAAAGTTCTGCTAAGAACTCAAAGGATCCTGCTGAATGAGAATAAAAGTATACAGCTATTAGTAGAAGACAATGTCTTTCAAATACACTTTCTCCCTAACCAAACTAGAATTTCGACAGAATCCTGTAGGTGTCATCAGGAGACAATATATTGTACACAACTTCAAAAACAAAAGTCCAAAATGATATAATATATGAAATAGAATTTCGTTGCTCAAAACTAGAATTCTAAAAGATGAACCATCAAATTCTTATTAGAGTTTTGAACTATGTAACTTCAATTTCGACAAAATTATTTATTGATCGTAACATGTCCAATAGTCATCTTTCATGTACTTTGTCATAAATAGAATTCTATTCGAATTTCGCTAATGTTTTCAAATTGTGAGCAGATTTTGGAATATCAAACGAACCACGTATTTTACTATGTTTCTGAACCATCAAGGCCTATGTTGTTAAATAATTAGACAGAATTCTATATAATCATTCACTATTTATTTCACTAACAACGAACAATACAAAAAATACATAAGTGCACAAAAGTCTGTATGCTGCTTGGTAGGCATTCTGCTACTGCTGGCATAGAAAACTTTTTCAATACTTTCTCCTCTCACTCCGAAAAAAACACTGTCATAAAAGAAGAAAATGTACAAACGCATGTCTGATGTTTCATTGGTTTGACCTCTTATATATTTACATCCTGTAGAATTATTCCACCTTCTCTGAGCTGTTTAATTCATTACTTCCAACATTATTCTTATAGTTCTGACATTTCTTGTATTTCTAATAAAGGGTGTGAGTGTAAGTGTTTGTGAAAATAATGTCGACGCCGACATGCACATTCCACTCACATTTACATCTACGTCCTTAACATGAGACAAATATTGTTTTATTTCAGTATGTTTTCTATAGAAAATCTCTATTTTGATAATAAAAATTTTCTATAAAATTTGGTTGTACATTTTTATGATCAAAGAATCTGTTTACCAACAGTATTTATTTAGCCTATTGGATTTCAGTAAGAGTTTTCTCCTATCAAATCAGGATCCTATATACCTTTTTTCTAGCTAAATAATAGGAAGTCTGTAACGACAAACTGGATGAGTAGCTAGCCGCCACCATCGGCAATGATGTTTATTGTGCTACTTCACATGTTCAGAATGTAACTACTTCACATACAACACACTTTTATATAGGAGAGAAAAAAGAGAAAGAGATGAACACAGGAAAGAACAATGGAGAGAAGAAAGAGGAAAAGAAGATCAGTGGAGTGTGACATCAATATTAGCACAGATAGTTTCATTCATCGAATAGCGTATTGTAGAACAATGATTTTCTATATGTGATTTTGAGAATGTGAAAGATATCATAAATGTTTTGTGCTTGGTTTAGAACTTTCCAATGGATTATAGTGACTTTAACGAGAAAAACTCTGCTTTCCGCTTTGCTGATGTGGGTACGTTACCAAAACGAATGATGGCACCAATCGAAGGCTATGAGAAAGTAGCACTTGTAACACTTGAGGAAGCTGTGAAACCTCTTGTCGACATTGTGCCTAAAGTCGAACGAAATGTATTCATTGTCAAACAAAACTGTCAAGAGCCAGAAGATGGTTTAACAATTGATGAATCAGCTTCAATAATGCTTTACACCTATGAATCAATGCCACGTGAAGACTCCCTGTACGTAAAGCTTAATGCAACTTTACGGTCTGAACAAAGAAAAAATTTAATTCCATGGTTTCTCTATCTTCGGCTCATACTAACAGCGCTTGCTCGTCTTCCATCAGAGCGTTCTTTTGTTTTTCGAGGAGTTAGAGAAAATTTGTGGACTGACTATCCACTAGGCAAGATTTTCATTTGGTGGGGGTTTTCATCATGCACTTCATCAGTCGAAGTGTTGGAGAATGAACAAGTTTTTGGGACAACTGGAAACAGAACTCTATTTCGAATAGAGTGTACTGCAGCAAAGAACATTAAAAAACATTCATTTGTTACCGGTGAAGACGAAACACTTTTATTACCTGCCAGACAATTTCAAGTCATATCTAGTTTCGATTCTGGCAACGGACTTCACATTGTGCAAGTTAGAGAACTGAAACCGCAGTTCGATCTTCTTGAACCTGTTTCACTGTCAAGTCCATCAGTCAAACACAAAAAAGACTCGCAAATGAAGCCTCAACCAATACCAGTAAGAGTAATGGTTGCAGGTAAACCTATTGCTGAAGCGATGGAAGAGCAATTAGCGACAATGCAGCTAAACGTGAATACCAAGTTACGAGGTCAGTAATATTTTTGAGTCACCTATGGATATACGAGTAGAGGTGAGGGGATATTCAGGTAAATAGTTCATAATTTTAACTGCAGTTGAACTCGTATAGATCTATTTGCCAATGAAACTCGTATTCATAACACATTTGTCTATTGTGTTTTCTTGAACAAAAAGAAACCACTATTTAACCGATGTTTTTTGTTTCACTTCAATCAATTGAAGATATATTCAAATGAGGAAAATCGTATTTTTTAAAATCTTTTCAATCAGTAATACGTATTATCAATGACTAATTATAAATTAATAATAATTGATACTACGTATTTACGTATGACAAGTAAGTGAATAGTGAATGGTTTGCTTAGTAGCTAACTTAGTCCTTATGCTTTGCTATACAGAGCTAAGATAGAATAAACATTGGTCTTCTCAATATTTCAAAAATACTTTTGCCTCAAACATCTCCTGATAGCATTCTCACGGTGTAATTTTCATCCTTCACAAAGATTCTACTTTTTAGAATCTGAAAGGTCTTGGTAAGAATTTAAACAGTTCACTGGAAACACGGATTATTATAGATTTCACCCAGATTTCTCAAGAAATGATTAGGATTGAGATGAAAAAGCGACATAGATGTAGGAATCGTTACGAAATCCTTCTTTTTTTAAAGAAAAGTAGGAAGAGGTTGCCTAATCTATATCTGTAAGAATGACTTTTTCTGATTTCGAGTCTGTAAGGAAAGACGTTCTTGAAAACTTTACTACGTTCCCTTGAAGAAGGAGAAGATTGTCTGATTAGTAGCACTGCCTGTGTGAGAGAGAGAATTTTTCTGATATCGACTACGACGGTTCCTTTTATTCTTCGATTATTGTAGTGATTCCCAATATTCCAGTCAATGCTCGATGGACACAGAATGGCGCTACTGTTGCTGGAGGCCACGGGTATGGTAATGCCATCAATCAACTCGACTGCCCGTCTGGTCTCTTAATTGATGATAATCAAAGAATAGTCATTGCTGACTGTGGCAATCATCGCATCATCCGATGGAAGATGGGTAATAAGAACGGGCAAGTGATAGCTGGTGGCTATGGTCCAGGAAATCGATTAGATCAGTTGCATAATCCAACAGATGTTTTGATCGACAAGGAGACAGATAGTCTAATCATCTGTGATCGTAAGAATCGACGAGTTGTACAATGGTCTCATTATGGTGGCAGAAGCCAAGAAGATATCCTCCTTGACAACATCACTTGTTATGGAATGGCTATAGATGATCGGAGATATCTCTACATCTCGGATACTCGAGACGATGAAGTAAGACGATACAAAATAGGAGAAAAGAGTGGAACTGTTGTGGCCGGTGGTCATGGCAAAGGTGAAGGTTTCAATCAACTCGACTGGCCAACCTACGTCTTTGTCGATCGACAACAGGCTGTCTACGTGTCAGACCAAAACAATCATCGTGTGATGAAATGGAACAAAGGTGCAAAAGAAGGAATAGTCGTTGCTGGAGGTCACAGCAAGGGAAATGCTCTGACGCAATTGTGGTATCCTGAAGGATTATTCGTCGATATGTTAGATATCGTCTACGTGGCAGATTCATTGAATCATCGAGTGATGCGTTGGCCTAAAGGAGCGAAACAGGGCACTGTAATTGTAGGTGGAAATGGTTGTGGAGAAAGAGCAAATCAATTCAACAGTGTTGGTGGTTTGTCCTTCGATCGGCAAGGTAATCTCTATGTCGTCGATTATCATAATTATCGTATTCAACGTTTTTCTATTGAATAGACTTATGAGGATGATAATTTTTTTTCTCTTTCTATTAAATAAATCACGATGAATAAAGAAGAAATGGCTTTTCAAAGGCAGTAGTGAGTTTCGTTCCAGTTCTTTTCGTGTGCGCAACCAGGAACTACTCTGATCGAGTTGTGACGGTGTGAGATGTGAAGTGTGCGTATGAGTATCGAAGAATATACACGTCGACACCCAAAACTTCGACTTACAACTTACACTGACTATTTTCTTCAGAAATATATATGAGTTTCACAAAATGAAACAAGCATAGAAATATAAATACAGTATGCATGGTTCTCGATAGATTATCAGTGGTGAGAGAAGCAAAACTTTCATGGACAATCATATGGAAACTGTCTGACAGAAAATAGCAAGCAAAAAGCTGTATGCTAGATGTTTCCAGTCAATGTTTGGGTGAATCATCACACTAAATAACTACTTATGTATAAGATTTCTATTTTTAGCAACGATCAAATTTCATTAAAAACGATCGTTTGTCGAGTTCGTTTTGAATCGTTTCTCAAATATCTTACATATTTGGATTTAACAGAGATGCCTCAACTATGATAAGAGAATATGTTATATATACTTCATTCGTTTTTTATCATCGATTGCTATGAAATCAATAGAAAACACGAAATGAATCAATACATGAAATGCCATTGAACACATGAAACTGTCTCCACATAGTAATAGAGAACCAAAACTTCAAACGAAAACAAGATAAAATGAAACGATGGATCTCAGCTCGATAGTTTAATTCGGTGTGGGTGTGGGTGTGGGTGCAGGTCAGATCGCAGAGAATATTAGCCCACACCCACACCTACACCCACGCCCACACCCACACCTACACCCACGCCCACACCCACACCCTGTCCTTTCATAGATACACACCCATGATCTATTCAATTACCCACACAGCTATGCGTTCTGGTTCTGATGTGCTCCTCAATAAGTTTGTAGTTCAGTAGATAAATCTAGACGCCGTCAAGCAACTTCAAATGGACTAGAACTTCTAACTGATGCAAGATTGAAAGTATAGTGAGGACGTCTTCGTCCGTTTCTTTAATGGTACTGTCGAAAATATCGATAAGAAAAAAGTTTCACTGTAAATACAAGAATATTTTGAAACATTTCGATCGAAAATATGCCACTTCATTTGCAGTATGGGTTCTTCAATTCATATTGATAATACGTTTTATTTTATCTTCCATATTTTTCTTCTCCTCTTCTACAGATCCATTCTGTGCATATTTATCACCATAATCTAACAAACATTTCATTCCAACTAATTCTCTCGATAATGAATACATTTGTCGTCGTTCTCCGTATCCATCATCTAATTTAACATAACAATTATAACTAGACATAAATTCTTCTCGATAATCATTTTTATTATTCTCTTCAAAATGAGCCTTTTCAATTCTCATTAATTCATATTCATTATGTCCTATAATTGCATCTTCAGCATCTAAAATGCCTGTAATTTTTGTATTAGAAACTAAAATATTACCACAATGTAAATCCATATGTAATAATCTTGGTACTATATGATAATCAATTAAATGCAAATTGTCAATCAAATATTTGTGAATTCTATTTCCAAGTTCCTCAAATATCGTCCCATTGAATAATGTAATTTGTTTTTGAATTATATCACTAAACATATGTTTCCAGCTAGCATATTGTTGACTTTGTAAATGACTACATTTTTCATAAATGTGCTTTGAATGTAGCTGTCCTACGAGCATGCCCAATGCTCGATAAATTTCTAGTTGTTGTTCATGTGTCATAGAATCTAACACTTGTGATAGTGGAAAACCAGGTAGTTTTGAAGATATATAGTAATTATGAACGATTGAATCATATTTTAAAACTTGTGGTATAGGAAAATATTCAGTGGGATAGCGATTCAATGTTTGATAGAAAAGAACTTCGGTAATGTCACCGGGTTGAGTAAATTTTAAAACCAGTTCCATATTAGAAGCATTGAGAAATGTGATGAAATAAACTGAATTTGAATAACCAAGTAATGGACGAGATATAGTATGAATTTGCAATGAATTATTGTAATCAGAAAATATTTGTTTTATAATAGCTGTTTTCTCATCCATACGTAGCGAAGATGACGATAAACGCACCTAGAAAGCGACTTAGTGATGAAGAAAAAAATAATTATCACATCGCAATACTTTCAGACATTAGATAGCCAGTGAGAGAGACGTAGCTCATTAATCATCGACTGAAAAATAGACGAGTCTGCCAGGGAGCTCGAAAGAGGGCACTACTAACACATATATTGTTTTGTTGTTTGTCTTCTGCTTCTCAAAACATATCTCTAAATGCACTTGACCAGCATTATTTAATTACCATAGCTAAAGAAACGAGATATTCGGATGGAGGTGTGACTGTGAGTGTAAGGAGAACTCGCAATTTCACGCACACATCCAGGCACAAAAAAAGTCGATTTATTTTTAAAAAAATAGCCAGAAAGGATGCATAGGGGAAAGATCTTTCTCATATAACATATGCTTTTGCTTAATTTGAAATCTTTTTGATTGAACAACGGCAATCTCTAGCTATTTAAAAAGGAAAAGCATCATTGTATCAACGAAGCCATAGTCGAATATTTTTTTCCTTTGGTACGTCTCTAGAGATCAAAATCCCAGTTGGTAGGCGATGTCGCAACCACTTGACAAGCTCTTCATGACTTGGTGAGAATCGTTTGTTTATATAATCGTCATCGCCATCATCGAATCGGGTATAATCGTCTAGATAATCATCATCTAGACACTGAACATTCAACGCGCGAAGATTGGTCATTGTCTTAACAAGATGCAGTATACTTGTTCGATTTTTGACGTTGATTCGAAGCACTTCACAGTGAATACCTAGCAGAGAACAGCTCAATTGAACACATTGTTGTTCATCAAACCACTGATTGTGTTGTTGCAAATCAAGTCGACGAACTGTTACATTAAGATTTTTAAATAGCAGCACTTGCGACTGCGACGGCCACGACACCCGCGAGTTGTATATCAATGTTGAGAGACGTGGAGCACGATCGAGCAAAGCTTGTAGCTGCGATTCAGCATTATCACACATCCCCATGAATACGCGCAGTGAAATTAATTGATCAAGTTTTGGCACAATAGACCAAAACTTTTCATTGAATGGAACTGTTAGACATAGATGGTGAATGTTAGAAAAATGAAAAGTAGGTAGGGCCAATTCTTTGGATAAAGGAGAGGTATAGTAGAATTTGTGCACATGATCATAAGACCTATGATCATCATCATTAGGACAGGTCGATCTTGATAAGATTCCAGGATCATGAACAAACTCACGAAAAACATAGGGCAGAGTATATAAACGCATGCGTCCAAGTATGGTATCTGAATACCAATAACATCGAACAAACCATCGATGTTTGTTAAGCCAAAAATGACTTTGAAATGAATTGAGAACATCAACAACTTCTTGTTCCCGGTTGTCACGAATTTTAAATTCCATTTCGAGTCGAAATGTTTTGAGTTTGGGTAAAAAATCAGTAATGATCTGTTCCCATTGATGTCCATCCGGTTAAATGGCTTCGGTCTCGACTGTCAACTGACGCAAATTGGGCGTATTTTCTAAAAACTTTATAAGTGTTTGCAGTGAATACTTAATAGTACATTTCAAAATAGTCAAAGATGCGATAGTATATGGTAGTTTTTGGCAATCACGCCCGTTATAGAAGCACACTTGAAGATATCGAAGACGAGGTGTATATTGAAATAGAGACGCTAGCTCATCCATGTTAAAAGTGACACCTTCAATTGACATGCATTCTAGCGTCGGTGAGATCACTGTTGGAATCGGAAAAGTAGCGTAAAAATTGAAAAGAATACTGAGATGGCAGTGAGTGAGTTTAGGTAGACTACCAATCGCATTAATAAGGTGCTTAAAAAGTGTTTCAACCTTTTCAAAGCGATACATTACATTGATGTTGAGATGAGTAAGATGATGAAGAAGATGACATTCCTTTACCGTGATATACTTAATCGGATTCGAGCAAAGGTGATCCAATGAAAGTGATCGCAAATGAGTGAATCGACGAAAGGCAAAGGCATCAGGAAAAAAAACGATCAGTTTGTTGTGGAGTATCGTCATCATCGGAGAGACGAAGTGAAATGATGCGATCAACAATTAATGGAAGATATTGACGACAAATAAAGTCGAAATCATGCTTGGATACTGATCGAAGGTCGAGACGATAGTGACGAAAGTGGACGAAGAGAAGAGTATCAAAACGAGAATTGAGACTATGAAACGCGCGAAGAAGATCAACGGCATGAAAAAATTCGAAGAGATCAAGCAACAATTCGTTCACCAAAAATTCCAAGCTCATTTCTTGCCTTCATTTACTATTTGTGACTAACAACGAGAACGAATTGTCAAGTGTTTTTACACGAGCAAAGAAAAAGAATAGACGCCATTCATTCTTTCTTTTTCATTTACTTGTGTTTTTGTTGCTTGCTAGAAACTTTTCGTCTTTCTTTCTATTACTATAAAGATTAAACACGAAGCACATTAGTGTCGTGTGTCCGTATGACTCTAGTTTCGTTGTCGGATCTCTCTAAAAATGAGCTCAAGCGAAGAGAACTCAATTCTAGATATAAGAAAGTTTTGCTCATTCGATAAATAGCTGAGAAATTATTTATTATTGGCTTCTGTGTCACAACTGGCTTTCGTTTTTGCGACTTTGAATTTTCTCGATGTTTTCATCTCTTATGCGATTCTGGTTTTTGGAGTAGAGGGTCACATTCATTGAAGAACGAATTCTGCATATGGCCTATTTACGGTTGGCATATGAAATCACTATTTAGTTACTTTTCAATGTTAAGCAATTTTCACCGGAGCTTTGCATTATCTAGTCAGATAATCTATTGACATTTTAGAGTAAGCATAACCAAGGAAAATCCTTGAAACCAAAATCATAGCAAAAGCTGAGATCTCTAAAATGACAATAGAACAGCTGACTAGATCTGCCAAGCGGGTGTGGGTGTGGGTGTGGGTGTGGGGTGTGGGTGTGGGTGTGGGTGTGGGTGTGGGTGTGGGTGTGGGTGTGGGTGTGGGTGTGGGTGTGGGTGTGGGTGTCGAGCGTGAGGGTGGATGTGGATGAGGGTGTGGATGTGAGCGTGAGTGTGAGTGTGGGGGCTGCACAAATACGACTACAAATTGTAGTCCCGAGGCATTATGACCCACGATAAACTTAGAATTTGCAGAATTTGTACCCTCGTGGAGTGTCATACATTGGGTCAAAAAACCTAGAATTTGCAGAATTCGTGATATTTAAATCAATCTATTTCTAGCTGTCATTTGAACATTGAAATTTTTACGTAAACAATTCAATTTTATAAATGTTTTTGAAATATTTGATTTGTTCATTACAATAAATATAAATAAGGGGGAAAAACTCGACTTATCAGATATTCAGTATCGAACAGCATGAAGTGAATCTTAAAAGCTTGTTTCCAATTTTTAATAATAATAATAATAGTAATAAAATAACAGACTTACTGTTATTTATTGTTCAATGGCGCTTATGCTATATGAATTTATTCACGTTATGAAAGAAAATAAATACTTATAATTAGTGTGAGCTTATAACAAAAAGTCTTTGAACTTCCATATCTGTTAATCAATGATAGTATTTGTAATAGCATTTCTATAACTATATGTAACCTTGGTGTTGCTTATAATAGTATGATCAATTTTTCCTGTCAGATTGCCATTCAAATGTTTCTTATTTTCTTGTATGTTTTTCAGCAACACAACCTACATAAGTGATTGTGTAAAAGACAGAAATGATAAACAATGGTGAACAATTCTTAAAAAATAAATCAATATTGAACCACTTTATATTATAAAAAGTAGCAAAGTCACTTGTATAAGAATGACGTGCCATCATAATGCATGGTAATAAAACAATAGATGAATTTGGTTATAAAAACTTGGATGAATAACTAGCTGCACATTTTGGGTATTCATCCCTTTACACCGAATTCACTCAAAATCCTCATTATTTACGGATATATTGATGTTTTAGAATCTCAATACCCGACTTTAAGATATTATGATATCCTTCAGTAAAAGACGAAGTCAATCTCTTTCCAATAATGGTGAATTCTATAAGAAAAAAGCTTGACAATATAAATTGAATAATCAAATCAGTTCTATGATGAACAAAATCTATCGTTAAATAGAAAAACATACGAAGTGAATGTGTAAGTAAAAGTGACAAATAAGACAATAATAATAACAAGAAAAAAATATATTTGGACGATAAATAGATATTTAACATGTTGTTTCATCACTAACGATAACAAATCTAGTTTTACGATCAGGCAGGCTAACTATAGATGATATATTCATTCCAATATTTGAACTTTAGAAAACAGAACTTGAGATCATGTCTGTCTGAGTACCTGCTGTACAAGGGAAGTCACTCACAGCTACCCACTTTCTCATTTAAATGCACTTCACCAATGGAAGATTATTGTTCATATACAACAAGCCTTTATGTAATCAAAAAATCGAATACACAACTCCGACAAACTCATCACAGCTTTGGTTTCCTCAATTCTCAAGACCTTTGGTCAAATTTTATAAAATATGGTAACACAAGTATGTCTGAACAAGTAACTTGACACGTGCGAGCAAACATACTCATAAACACATTTGATTTTATATGACACTCCATTCAGTCGAGGGAATTAAATATATTAGTACGCTAAATCTAAAAAAAGATTTCCAGCTTTCTAGATTTTTATTAGGTCTGGCTTTTTTGTCTTCATAAGAAAGCCTCCATGAGAATATAACCGAAGACCGTGCCAGCATCATAGTATTCATCAAATTTTTTTCTCTAATTATATTTTGCGAATACGAAACATTAATTTCTAAAATGACTAAATTCCAAGAGTTAGCTTTCGAATAAGTATGAACCAGTACTAGTATGTCTGGTGTATCAGTGATACTGATGACCATCATTGATGTTATATATTATTCATATACTAAATTTTCTTCGCAATCAGTTTTGTCATAGGCTTCCTGAAAATTCAAAACTCTTAGCACTACAGTGTGTCCTAAAAGTTCCTCCTAAAAGTTTTTTGTTCCATTTCACTATTGACTGCACTTCATTGACTCATTTTTGTTTCGGATAATAGATAAATGTACGGAGTTTTTATTTATAAAGACAAACTTCAAAAGCATTGTTGAAAGTTAAGACCTTTAGTCGAAATACAAAAATTTAGGCCAGATGTTTTCTTTTTCTAGGAAAACCTAACATAGCATTTCTTCTTTAATAACTTTGAGTTTGTTGAGTGATTCGAATCTTTCAATTGTCCAATATCGAAACGATCTTTTTACAGAATTTTTTTTCAGTATCTCTTTACAAAAACAAAATGAATAGTACGAAATCAAAATTCAAGCAGTTCAAATACATATCATTCATTAGCATTTCCGGAAAGGGAAAACAGGCTAAATTTTTGTATTTCAGCTAAAGGTCTTAAGTTTCAACAATGAAATGAAACGGAACAACTTTTAGAAGAGGACTTTTAGGACACATTGTATAATACATTATAACATTTTGGCTACTTCTATCGGTCGCTACTATCCGTTAGATGTGCACCCGTATCAGTATTATACTGCTGGTATTTGGTATTCTTCGACTTCTAACAAAAAATCCTCAAACGAATCTTCAACAAACTTCAGCCGACTAGTTTCACATCGGATTAATCAAGTTTTTTTCGTAATAAACCTACAAAATAAAGAATGAAAAATTGAATAAATAAAAATGTGCACATGCGCAAGAGAATAAAAATATACGCACATTATTTGATAAAGAGGACAAAGGGTGTATTTATCCTTTTTCGGATGAATTGCACTTTTCGTTAGAAGAGTGGTCTTTGATACCTCCGTGCACTTTCGCACAAACAAATAGTAGATGAGAAAGAAAAATTGGCCTAATATCTAGCTGCAACGCAGGTTGCACACTCGGCTGAAATAGAGTCATCTGTGCATCTATTACAGAGATATATGCCTAAGTGTAACAACACTAAAACGAAAAAAAAAGGTAGATATGCTTTATTGTCAATACGCCTATAGAGCAAAATGATATAAATTGAATATGCAGACACGTTTACACTCGCTTCAACCCGTGTATAGTGCTGCATCATGGTGTCATCGCATAGCAACTTTCAGGTATATGTGACAGGTGGTTTTGCTGCCATTGGCGGCTTTCTCTTCGGCTATGACACGGGTGTTATATCGGGCGTTCTCACTATGCCCGGTTTTCTTCAGCAATTTGGCGGCAAAGCAAGTGTATCGCGAGGTTTATTGTCTAGTGGCGTATCAGGTTCAGTTGTTGGCCTTCTTGTAGTCGGCTGTTTTTTTGGTGCACTCATGGCAGGTCAAGCGGGTGATCGTCTTTCACGAAAATACTCAATCGTTCTCTTTTCGGTCATTTTCAGCATTGGTGCTGCTATACAAGCTGGCTCTTTCAACTTAATCATGTTACTAGCATCTCGTTTCATTTCCGGTAAGAGAGAAAAATGATAGAATTCTCATTGTCTGTTTGAGTTTTGACAATGTTACAATATTATTACAGGTGTGGGTGTTGGTGCATTATCGATGCTAGTGCCTGTCTATCAATCGGAAATTGCACCGAAGGAAATCCGAGGACGACTCGTGTCTCTTCAACAATGGGCTATTACTATCGGCATTGCAGTTAGTTTCTGGATCAACTATGGTAAAGTTTTGCTAATATTCAGTATATATTTTTTTTGAAAAAAAGATGTTCATTTCAGGCACAGACATTCATTTGTCGGGCAGTAGTGCTTCATGGCGTATTCCACTTGCACTACAAATCGTTCCTGCCTTCATTCTCGGTATTGGTATTCTCTTCTTTCCGTTTTCGCCTCGTTGGTTGATGGCTCACAATCGCGAGGATAAAGCGATGGAAGTTCTAACGAAAATTCGCTCGGCGTCAGTATCTAGCATACTTATCGAGTATAACGAAATGAAAAATGAGATTGCTCTTGAACGTGAACAATCGGTTCAATCCTACTCTCAACTATTTCGCGCTCCGCTACGTCGTCGACTGTTGCTCGGTCTCGGCATTCAACTCTTGCAGCAACTCACTGGGATCAATTCGATTATGTACTATGCTCCCGAAATATTCAAACAGGCCGGCTTGGCTAATCGACAAGCATCTTTACTTGCGACTGGAATCAATGGATGTGTAAACATTCTTGCTACGATTCCTGCTATTCTGTTTATTGACAAACTGGGTCGCCGTCTGGTACTCATTTCTGGTGCCATACTTATGGCTCTGTCTATGCTAACCATAGGCACTGTTATGGGCATATATGGACACAAATTTGTCAATGAAACGACCGGGGCCGTCGAAGTTCTTATACCGAACAAGACAGCATCTTATGCAATCATCATCTTGGTCTATGTCTTTGTTGCCGGATTTGCTTTTAGTTGGGGTCCTACTGCTTGGATATATTGTTCGGAAATTTTCCCATTAAACATGCGCGCCAAAGGCACATCACTAACAACAGCCGCCAATTGGGCAGCCAATTGTGCTGTCTCGTTTATCGTACCTGTTCTTCTCGAACGCATTACCTACGGAACATATCTTATTTTTGCCGGTTTTTGTGTTATCATGACGATATTGACATTTCTCTTTTATCCAGAAACAAAAGGTAAAAGCTTGGAAGATATGGATCTTGTGTTTGGTCGTTCGGTATTGGCCTTTAAATCGTCCAGGCAAATGACACAGCTCAAGAGCGAAAGCTATACAGTAGAACTTGAGAAACAAATTGTTGGCCATTCATCGGATGCCGTGGTTCAGCCGCGCTTGAGCATGATCCCTTCGATTTCATCTAAAGATACTTCAAACTTCACTCTACTACAAGAAACTGACGATGTCTAACAAATTATAGGCAACACTTCACTTACCATTTGTCAAAATGCCTACGGAAAAAAGTTGTTAGATTCACCATACTCAAAAAACTTTTGTTGATCTAATTGTTGTGTAAACATACTTCTTCACTGGTTGTATTGAATAAATGCAGCAAAACGCGAGTACAGTAGTTGACAAAAGTCCTAAATAACATCAAGATAGTCATCATAGTGATTGTCGATGCTCAAGCTAGCCAATGAGAAGCTCTTTAAGTTGATTCCAATTCGGGAGCAGAGACCGAAACAGAGATGCTTTTTTGCTCTCCGCCCTGCCCAGCTTCGAAAAATTTCTCTTCACCTCGCTCCCACCTCGACTTGTCTTCACACATTAATTTTATCAATGAAATGTGGTGTGTGTGTGTGTGGATTAGAGACCTACGAAGTTACGTTTTTATGACTTCGACTTCTAAAACTCATTCCGACTCTGATTTCCTTTTGAACATTTTTCAAGTCTGCTTCCAAAATTTATTAATGGACTCAGATTCCGACCTCTAAGGGCCTCGAAAGTTTTCTTCGTAGATTAGTGACAGCTTACACGTGAATGACGATATTAAGTAATTTAACTTCATAGTATTATCACAAATTAAATTTTATTAGGAGTATGGTTAGAACAGATAAATGTTTTGAGCTTGGCAGAAAAATTAAAGCTGATTGAATTTCAATTTTTGATGTCGATCAAATATACTTGCAATGAGTTCTAAGCTCTTGCCACGAGAAGAAACTCTAAATTTAATTAAAAAAGGAGGCCATTCTCTTAAACTAATACCTGAAAAAGCACTCAATACAAATGAAATCTGGGATAATTCCCACCAAGTTTTCATGAACAGTGGCTTCTTAGGAAAAACTTAGCTTTATTGCAAGAATTTCGTCTGATCAAGAAGGAACTAACAAAATGATCAAATTTTAATGCAGTTTTAATGCCAGAACAGTGAAGCGAAAAAGTAGTTTAAAGAGCGTATGAACATGATGAACATAAATCCAATGCCACGAGTGCGAATATTTACAGGTGTTAAACTTTTTTTCGCAATTCTCACCGTCGAAGGTTAATCTAGTGCAGATGTTTTTTTGTCTTCTGTTTTATTTTTCAATTTGATGTTCTTTTGCTTTTGGATTTACAATTTTCGTTAACTAACTATTACAAATAGCAAAAAGAAATTCTACAGGATGGGTAAAAATGTTTTTTCAGCGTGGGGGGGGGGGGGGGGGGGGGGGGGGGGGGAGGGGGGGGGTTTAGTAAACANAAAGATCTTTATCGACGCAGTTTTCTTAAAGCCCTTGAGTCTGTCATATTTGGTAGAGAATCCTTTCACCTATGAAGTCCTCTTTTCAGACTCTTGCCCGCTTTTACTATTCAGCAGAAAACCTAAAACAACACCTATTCTAAACTTGTATTCACCAATAAAGGTGGAAAAAGAGACATATAAACTAAAATTTCACTTGTACTTACATTTGTGGTTTGTGATGCTGGTCGAGGAGATGAACTAGATTTTGATTGCATTAGTTCAGAATTAATTAGTTGATTCCAACCTGCTTCCTGCGAAAAAGCATAACCTGAGTGAATCGGGCGTTTACTTTGACGAAGTTTGTATTGCATATGTGTAACAAATGCTGCTTTTTCTTCTATGCGAAAAAGTCTTCAAAACATATAACACTACAAATCTTTTGCATCTCAAATAGAAAATGATATACTCTCGACCAAATATCGGTAATAGTAATATAACACATGTAAGAAGCAATGTAAACCAAAAATTGCTCGTCGATAAAACAGCTTGTGTTACACCAATATTTTTATTATTATTTTTGCAAAATTTTTTCAATTATTGTTGAATATAATGCATAATGAAATAGAAAATGTGTTACTATTATATCCCATTAAACGAAATGATATAAACTAGTTCAATATCATATTTTAAGTGCATTTTCTAAATTAACAATAATAACCATTATTTTTGCAACTGTAAAATCAAATGATTGTAAATCAGCTAGTGTCATTCCATCTGACCGTGTAGCATTCGATATAGATAAATACGGTACAAAAAATATGATACATGATGTTAATATACCATGTATAACATTTTCAGCAAAGACTTTTTTATTAAAAAATTCATCATTTTGGTCAGGTGTATATCTTGAATAAAAGTAAATCCGTATTTAAGTTACAAACAAAAATTAACTCACAAATGAGATTTACTTAATGAATGATCAGCACTAATATCCTAAAAGAAAATATACTAAAAATCAGCAGAAATTAATGCTTAACATACTTGATCAAAAACACCTAATACTAGAACTGGCAATGATGTGAAAAAAACATTGTATGTTGCTATGAAGAATGGATCATATAATGTCTAATAACAAGAAAATGAAAAAATTGTACGTTGTTTACATTTTTGTTTCCAACTTACTTGTGGTGAAAACCCCGAAAAAAATCCAAGCCAAAAATGGCACAATGTAAATGCAATATTTTTATAAAAAAAATAACGTAAAAATTTTGAAATCCGTAAATATGACCAACGACCATGAACAAGTAATAATCTTTCAAGAAAACGAAATTGTCCCAAACTATAATCACTTGCTAGTACGGCTTGTCAACCTTCTTGTTCACTAATACCAACACCAATATGTGCATCTGAAAAATGAATATTTTTAAAAAATTTTCTTCAATATAAAACGAGATATTTCTATGATTTTACTTTGTATCATTGATACGTCATTAGCACCATCACCAATCGCTAAAGTAATTTTTCTCTCATGTTTCATAACCAAATCAACAACTTGAGCTTTTTACAATGGTGTTGCACGACAACACACAGCAGCTTTATACATTGTACCGATTTCAAGAAATTTCATTTTAAATTTTTCACTTAATGCAAATGTTAATGCTTGACCTGTAATTAACAAACTGAAACCTTCAAATTCTTCATCATCTTGCTGATTTGTATCAATTGTTATCATTGCATGACCATTTAGACGTTGTGCTTCACTATGACTTTGATAATAAGGTTTTCTATATTGATGAAATTTCATAACATCAATTCCCCAATCTTTCCAATCAAGTCTTTTATTTTTATCCTCAATACAAACATCAAACAATTATTCAATTTTGTTAATCATTTCACTTCGAACTTCTTGTAATTTTCTTTCAACATCGTTTTCATTTTCCTCTTCAATAACATAGAGTTCCATGTCATTTGTTAATAAACGTCATGATAAACCAATATTTCGAGCAGTTTCTTAAATAATATTGCAGCAAAAGATAATTAAAATAAAATATATTGAATAGAAATTAAACTTACCAAGTTTATCGCCAGTTAAAACCCAAATTNAAAAAAATTAAAGAAGATTGTAATGATCGTCTTTGTCTATTATGTTTTCGTATTCCAACAGTCGATGATGAAATGATTCGAAAATTAAAAAGAATGATCAATTTTGAAAAACTTTTATTTAATTATACAATTAAACGTGTAGCGGATTTTATCTATATAGAATGGGAAGAATTTTAACATGTGTATTATTGATTTTTTTTAAGAATTTGTGTTCATTAAATAAAATAAATGGTCTTTTCTTAGTTGATAAAGTTCATCTTAAGACATGTTCTTTTAATTTTTCTGCATCGGCACAACTGCAGAAGAACGACTCTCTACATAAATTGGTGAAATTGATAAAGCATATCAAAGAGTGTGGGTGCCGCCGTGTCGTTGTTCAGCAGTTGTACAATAGCTAATTAGGAAATATTCTTAACTGACTCTCGTGTAGTCTAATATTAAATTGTCTTGTCCTCCTATTGGATGTATTTAACTCTGAAACTAAACGTTTAAAAACATGTTTAAAATATTTAACGAAAAAAACCGTATATTTTAACACGCAAGGGTGTGGGTGTGGGTTTGTGTATTCTCTTCATCTGCACCACACACTCACACCCACATCGTCATCACAATAAAACTACACCGATTCTTTCGATCATCGAACCGAAAAAATTGTTTACTGTACGAAGTCGAATGCTATTCTTTATCATTCCGAGAAGCCATCCTTTAACATGATTCGATGTCGGAAAGCGATCATGACTTCATCGGATGAATCATTAAAACATTAGCTTCCCTTTCCTCTTCAAACCGCTTTTTTTGTTCACTCAGTATAAGACCTCGTCAAACAACTGAATGCTAGTAAGAAGATCGGTTATGGAGGCGAATATACAACACTCGCATGACTTTTATCTGGTAGCAAGGCAACAGTACAATTACCGGTGAAGACGTTGCTCGGAAGGCAAAAGTGACAATGTCAAAGATATTTACTTTCTTACCGAGCCGAGTGCCACGTATATACAGATGAAATGTATCGGCCATCAGCGGTGCAAACACTGTCATTGAATCTATGAATTCGATAGCAGTAGTACTTTGCCTTTCTTTTATACATCAATGGAAAACTCGGCATGCGATCGAGGATAGTTTCGTTATTGACTTTTCGCTTGCCCACAGACTGGATTCATGGAAAAGTGAACAATCTTCCAAATCATGCATGTTGGATTTAACATACAGTCACCTGAGGAATTTATCGTCATTGTGTTACCAAAGATTTTAACGTAGACATATTTAATTTAGAATTCTTTCCAATCTGAGTCCTATACACTGATTGATGATAAATCGATTATCGAATTAAATCACTCATACTATATTCAAATTGAATTCGATTATAATGAAACTATTGCTACAATGTCAATCGATTTACTTTACTAAGAAAGGAAATTTGATCTCAAAGCAGAACATGTATTTTCTTTAATAAAGATCTATACTATTCGGAAATGAATTTGTTTTTTGAAAAAAATATTTGTTTTAATAATTTGTCTTTTTTCAATTGATCAATATGCCGACGAATAATTCTTCCTTCGACGATCAATGTTAGGGATAAACAATGAATAGATCTTATCGTATATATTGATTTGGTAGAATCGAAAAAAAGTAGAAAGCTAATATTGACTTTCGCCATAAATGAGATCATTTTTTATTGAATATAAGACGATGAGAAACATAGATTCACAAGTTGTCATGTGTACATCAGATAGACACGAGACTAGTTAGCAAGCGATTATCATGTGTCCTTAAAACGCTTATGCATTGATTCGCTTTTAGGTTACATTTGCGACAAGCATTTTTCTCTCGTCTGAGCTTCGGCATTCATTTGAAGAAGCCAATAATGAAATCGACTTTCTTCATTTTCAAGACATTTGACGACACTCCATATATTAAGCTGAGCTCTCTGGATTCTTTGATTTAACCGATCATGAAATACTAATGAATCGACGGTAATTACATTGAAGAAGAGACACCGTTACCTTCACGGTTATTGCTTGTTCGATGTATTCACGATGAAACATCCCAATATACATGATTTCAACAACATGAGTATAGATAAACCTCGAGATTTTTGGCGGTGTAAACTAATGAAATTTGTTGACTGCTACTCCTACATGTAATTCACAAAATTGCTCAACCGTCTCTCGCGTGGATGCATCAAACAGACGAATAAAAAATGCGTTTCTTTTAGAAGCAATGAGTTACAGGCACTCAGTGGTGAATAGACGCATGCGCATGTGTTTCTAATGAATCATAGTGTGTCATATTCCCTATATAAAATTCTGTTTGCTGTCGACAAACGAACAAAAAGAGTTGATTTCCATAGTAGTGCATTGCATGGCGCAACGGAACAAAATGAAAACTTCAGCAACGATCTCTTCGAATCGTCGTTGTCGTACAGATAGAATTACAAGGCTTGAACAAGTCTCACCAGAGATTTTCTTCGAAATTTTCGATTATCTAACAGGTAATCAAATTTATATATCTTTTCTTGGTCTCAATAGACAAATCAATCAGCTTGTTTACAATACACCTAATGTTCATTTGGATTTATCTCAAACAACAACAAAATTTTATCGTAATTTTCAACGAATATTTTATGTGCAAAATGTTGTTTCGGTTATATTAGGCTTTGATGATGTCAACTTATTAGAAAGATCATTCAGTTCAACTGATGGAAGACGATTGAAATCAATTTCTCTGTTAGACTTACCTCTATATACATTTCAAACTAAAGTACCCGAAATATTAAGCATTTTCAAACAGCAATTAGTCAGTCTCAAGATTAATTTAATGAATATGGGATCCCATGGAACTGGAGCTCAAACTGCCCAATCCTTCGAATATATACTCACAGAGTTACCATTATTAAAATATTTTGTATTGAACGGCTCCGATGAAATCAATCCAATAACATATTTAGATTCAAGTATTGTCAATAATACTGTCGTAAGTTTAGCAATGTCTTTAAGTGGCTATGTGCGTTGGATATCATTATTGTATCGATTTGAAAAATTGAAAGTACTCACAGTTGATTTCCGTTTTCAACATCAGAAGAAAAGAATGGCTCCTCGAGATTCCAGTTCGTATTATGGAGCTCAGATACAAGAAATATTATCGATCGATTATTCTTTTCGACTTCGTCACGTCAAAATCTATCAATGCAATATGATATTGGAAAACGTTGAACAATTGTTTCAACTCTTTATTTCACCAACCTTATTAACTCTGAGCTTATTTAATTGTCAACGTCCTTTTACGAGATATCCGCTACCGAAGAGAAAACCTCCGTTTCTCGATGGTACACAATGGCATGATTTGGTGAAAAAATATTTGCTATCAACGATGAAACGATTCTATATTGAGTACGAAGATGTCGATAATACAATGTCCATGACAAATCTTGTCCGAGTTAAAAATGAATGTATGAAATATAGTGGACAAAATTTACCATGGAAAACATTTTGTTCATATGACCAAAAAACAAGATTACTTTCTTTTGATTTCATTTTTACTTAAACAAGTTTAAGTTCAATTTTTGTTGGATTACTCATCACTGACAAGTTTTGTCTCAATATCATTAAGATTGATTAATTTATCAGTTGTAAATACTTTGTTGATTTCAATAATAAAAAAATTTTGAAGCAACTTTCTCCTCAATATGAGTTTTGTGCATCGACTGATTAGTGTCCGTGCGCTAACGGCACTGATATCGATGTTCTCTGATACAACGACACACTGACGCCAGCAACATATATCTCATTGAACGCTATTGCAATGTGACACAACTTTCAATCAATCAAAGAAAACATTGCTGTTTGGTTTCCTCTATATGAAGTGATCAGACTAACCATAAAAACTACATGTTCCTGATTCTTGAATTATGTTCAGTCGGATGATATAAAATGAGAAATTCGCACACTTTTCGAGGTCGAAAAATTCTTACTTTATTTTGATACTGGAAACATCTTTCTTCTTCATAATTCAGAAAGAAACTCTTTTTTTCGATAAAACTATTTTTAGATTCAGTCTAAGAAAACTTTTCTGCTAAAAACTCTGCAGTAAATGAGTTGATGACTTTGACTGTGGAGTTAGATCGACAAATTTTATTTTCGAACTCAAATATCATCATGACATGGAAAGAATTGAAGACAGAATGTACAGCAGATTTCACGATATTATTCTTATGAGCATTTATCAAACTAAGAGTATGACTGTGCTCTTCGCTAGCAGTCACACTCATACCCACTCACACCCACACCCATTGCTCTCTTCAATGGCGGATCACACGCTATAAGATTTGCTGCCTATGCTAAAATAGCCTTACTCCAAGAAAAAGCATATGTTCGCCTTGTGACTTCTTTTGCATTAAGGCTCAATTGATACTCGTTAATCCTTGTGATCAGGATTCACTGAGTTTCATTTAAAGTAAAAAATCAGCTCAAACGGTTGAAATTTAGGTAATTTGCATCTGATAGCGGGACTTTTGACGAGTACTGCACGTGGTTTCTGTATCAAGACATATGATATGATGAGGCGATTTCAAGCAGATAATATTGAGACTTATCAATTTCATTCTGGCAGAATCATTGCAACTTATTGTAATTGAACGAAGAGTGTGGGTATGAATGTGGGTGCTGATGTCTTTTTTACACCCACACCTTTATCATACACTAATTCTTACAATACATATTGCTAAGTTTACTAATTTAAGCGCTTGTCACTTTAAAGAGATATCGAATGCAATAAACCAGTCGAAAGTTCATCACAGAGGTCTTCGAAGACAATGAGTATGAACCATAGGAAAATTATAGATATGCTATTTCACACTCGGATGTGAAGAAGACTCAGATGACAAAAAAATTATTTACCATTATTATTTCATGTTTTTCCTCGGTATATCTTTGACGAAACTATAACGATTCTATTGCCTTTAGTTTAGTTTTGTTTCAATGATTTTGACATTATGATTCTGCCGTGAAATTTACCATTTCCATCAATGAAAATAATCGATGACTATGAAATACAAGAATATATTTGTCCGGTTCACTATCACAAACTTTTTTATTATATCTTGGTCATCACTTCTCTTCGAGAAAAAGCTCCATTCAAATGATGTAAAATACATTCTATTTTTGTATTCTGTATTTCATTGTAGCTTGTCTAAGCAATAAAAAAAATAGAGAATAGATAGGTTAGTATGACTATATCATAAGTATGTTACAAATGTAAGCTACATAAAGCACGAAAAAGTGATTGCATATAAATAAGAAGCTTACAGTAAAGCTTTTTCATAGTTACAGTGTTCTTTCATGCTTCATTCCATATTAAAGTCGACTTTGAGTCACAGTCTAGATGCGTCAACAAAGGCACAAAAATAGATTAAATATTTCGTATAAAAGTAATTGTTCAAGGAAAAGCAGTAATTAGTAAAGGAAAGCCAGTCACATAAGAAGATACATCAGCTTAAAAATAGTAAAAACTAGCCGATAACAACAAAGACATAACACAATGTTTTTAAATTTCTTGCATTGACTTTACCTAGAAAAAGAGTACTCTAACTAGTGTCTTGAAGAAACGACTTTTTGAATCCATATTAAGATTTCATTTTGCATTTTGCATTTTCGAGAAAAACTATTATTGCTAGATACTAGCTTCTTTCACCATTGCACTTTGCACAATGTCAGTTGGTTTTAAATTGAAATTAACATTATCATTGAAGGTACATTTCAGCAAGGTAAATCCATTTTTATCTATTTACTCAAATTTATCAATATTAGCATGTCAACAGACCGAATGAAGGAAACGAAAACATTCAATAATAGAAGGTAATGATAACACTATATTGTGATATATAATCTGAATATTAGTTCATTTCAATGTGTAGCTCATAAAAAAAATCTTAGTTAGAATAACTGAATAACGTTTTAATGACTAATGGATGATGTCGATGACTTTAGAAGATTGTCGAAATCTATTTCTCAACAATCTAACATAGGATTGATTTCGACTCTTCTGATCACCAGCTCATAGTTCAGGTATAGCGACAAACTTCTTTTTTTTTTTAATGCTGCACTGCAAAAACGATTGTAGACATTCAAACGTGAGATTTTCTTTAAAAACATAGCAGCAGATAGAAGTTTAGAGAAGTTGCATTTTCGAGTTCTCTTCTTGATGGCAATAGCTAGAAAGAATTTGAATAAACATGTTTGTAGCTGAAAGAAATTTCTATCAGGTTTAGTAGGCTTGAAGACTTCAAAGAACCTACTGGGATAAGGTTCTTTGATAGGCTGAAAACACAAAAATCAAACTTCTGAGATCTATTCAAAGCTTTTAAAGAAAGATTTCATTAGATCGAAGACATAAATCTCAACCGAACGAGATATTTTCGAACCCTTCATGACTTTCTTTCATCGTTACAGAAGACTCCAAAGCGTTAGACATAGGAAAAATATTGAAATTTTCACTAAAAACAAGAGAGAAATGCTTCTTGAACTTTCTATAAAATGTATAGATTTCGATGAAGGAAAGTCATGGAAAGGTCAGAGACGTTTGATTTTTCTGAGAATAATTTGCTTTATCTAATCGAGTCCTTCCCTTCAAAAAATCTTCAAATAGACTTTAGAGAATTTTTTTTTATGGAAGGACTCGATCTTCCAAAGATCTGTATCAAAGCAGTTTTCTTAAAGCCCTTGAGTCTGTCATATTTGGCAGAGATCCTTTCAGCTATGAAGTCCTCTTTTCAGACTCTTGCCCGCTTTTACTACCCAGAAGAAAACCTAAAACAACACCTACTCTAAACTTGTGTTCGCCATTAAAGGTGGAAAAAAAGAGACATATAAACTAAAATTTCACTTGTACTTACATTTGTCGTTTGTGATGATGGTCGAGGAGATGAACTAGATTTTGATTGCATTAGTCCAGAAGTAATTAGTCGACCCCAACCTTCTTCCTGCGAATAAGCATAACCTGAGTAAATCGGTCGTTTTCTTTGACGAAGTTTATATTGCATATGTGCAACAAATGCTGCTTTTTCTTCCATGCGAAATTTCTGATTTAATCGAGCACGATCAATTTTAGTTGGCATAAATCGCATGCGAAAAAATCTTCAAAACATATATAAAACTAAATAAATCTTTTACATCTCAAATAGAAAATGACATACTCTCGACCAAATACCGGTAATAGTAATATAACACATGTAAGAAGTAATGTAAACCAAAAATTGCTCGTCGATAAAACAGCTTGTGTTACACCAATATATTTATAATTATTTTTGAAAATTTTTCCAATTATTGTTGAATATAATGCAAAATGAAATAGAAAATGTGTTACTATTGTAGCCCATAAAGCGAAATGATATAAACTAGTCCAATACCATATTTCAAGTGCATTTTCTAAATTAACAATAATAACCATTATTGTTGCAACTGTAAAACCAAATGATTGTAAATCAGCTAGTGTCATTCCATCTGATCGTGTAGCATTTGATATAGATAAATACGGTACAAAAAATATGATACATGATGTTAATATACCATGTATAACACTTTCAGCAAAGACTTTTTTATTAAAAAATTCATCATTTTGGCCAGGTGTATATCTTGAATAAAAGTAAATGAATATTTAAGTTACAAATAAAAATGAACTCACAAATGCGGTTTACTTAAAGAATGATCAGCACTAATATCCTAAAAGAAAATTATACTAAAAATCAGCAGAAATTAATGCTTAACATACTTGATCAAAAACACCTAATACTAGAACAGGCAATGATGTAAAAAAAACATTGTATGTTGCTATGAAGAATGGATCATATAATGTCTAATAACAAGAAAAAGAAAAAATTGTACGTTGTTTACATTTTTGTTTCCAACTTACTTGTGCTGAAAACCCCGAAAAAAATCCAAGCCAAAAATGGCACAATGTAAATGCAATATTTTTATAGAAAAAATAACGTAAAAATTTTGAAATCCGTAAATATGACCAACGACCATGAACAAGTAATAATCTTTCAAGAAAACGAAATTGACCCAAACTATAATCACTTGCTAGTACGGCTTGTCGACCTTCTTGTCCACTAATACCAACACCGATATGTGCCTCTGAAAAATAAATATTTTTAAAAAGTTTTCTTCAATATAAAACGAGATATTTCTATGATTTTACTTTGTATCATTGATACATCATTAGCACCATCACCAATCGCTAAAGTAATTTTTCTCTCATTTTTCATAACCAAATCAACAACTTGAGCTTTTTGCAATGGTGTTGCACGACAACACACAACAGCTTTACACATTGTACCGATTTCAAGAAATTTCATTTTAAATTTTTCACTTAATGCAAATGTTAATGCTTGACCTGTAATTAACAAACCGAAACCTTCAAATTCTTCATCATCTTGTTGATTTGTATCAATTGTTGTCATTGCATGACCATTTAGACGTTGTGCTTCACTATGACTTTGATAATAAGGTTTTCTATATTGATGAAATTTCATAACATCAATTCCCCAATCTTTCCAATCAAGTCTTTTATTTTTATCCTCAATACAAACATAAAACAATTGTTCAATTTTGTTAATCATTTCATTTCGAACTTCTTGTAATTTTCTTTCTACAGCGTTTTCATTCTCCTCTTCAATAACATAGAGTTCCATGTCATTTGTTAATAAACGGCATGATAAACCAATATTTCGAGCAGTTTCTTAAATAATATTGCAGCAAAAGATAATTAAAACAAATATATTGAATAGCAATTAAACTTACCAAGTTTATCGCCAGTTAAAACCCAAATTTTAATACCAGCACATGCTAAACGCTCAATACATTGAGGTACACCATCTTGCAGTTTATCTTCAATACCTGTAGCACCAATTAATATGAGATTTTTTTCAATTTCTTCATAGGCATCCTTGACTTTTTCATCTCGTTTTTCCATACTTGTTCTAAAAATGAAAAGTTCGTTTGTTAGAGAGTGAAACTTGAAGAACGTAGTCTCAATAAAACTTCTCTTGTCTAATGGTTTAATTCATAGTTTCTTATTTTTTTCGATTTTTCATGGAGAAGAAAATGGAAGAGAATTCGAGTTTGAACTCTTATGAAATTTTTTGAAGAAATTGTGTTTCTCACTTAATAATGTACACGACATGTTTGTTTTAAATTATTCGTATAAAGCATCGAAAGTGAGTATAAATATGCTATGAAGCCTGCAATGGACAGTCGAACCAATCGATAAGAACATTGTTCTCATTCAGACAGAAATGCTTCACTCGACATAATATCATAAATATCAAGTAAATACTTGAAAAAGAAATGTAAACATTTATCTATCAGTCTCCATTCTTGTACATATCTTTCAATTCATGCATATATCGGTCTCGACATCTTCTGAACAAAGTCGAAACAGATGAATGATTTTCTCTGATGTAAAATATCTGAAGTAATGGATGCTGTTCTCTACGAAAGCACTTCTGTATGACTCTGCTGAGGAGCTGAACCCTTTTCGCTATAAACGAAACCATTTTCTGACTCTGGAGAATATTATCCCGCTCGTCTATGATAATCTATTGGGACATCGAAATTCTGATGACACGTTAAATTCCCTATTCCTTCTTTGAGTTTCCTCTTCAGTAATGACATACTTTGCTGCATGTAATTTTTGAGTCCATCTATTATAATCACTTTCGCTCAATTCTTTATATGCTAAACAAAGTATACGTAAACCATCCGTTGCAAGTTTCTATAAAAGATAAAAATAATCATAAGACAAAAAAACTAAAATTCATTCACATATAAATGTTCATCCGTTACAGTCATTATATTTCTTTCTGATGGGTCTAAACGTTCTTTTATTTTAGAATCAGCTCCTTTACAATATAAAAATATCTTTCCATGTTTTTTAACAATAACCTATCAAACAAGAAATGAATAAATGCAAAGCAAATCATCAAAAGAAAAATTTATTTTTTAAAAATACTCACCGACATTCGTTTGCGATCATTATCAAAATCAAGTATTGCCAATAAATCATATGTTTCTTCTTTATTTCCAAAGCGAACTGTAATACTACTTTGAGTACGATCCTAGTAAAGAGAAACAAAGCAATCTCTAATCATTCTTTTTGTTTTTCTTTTTGAAAATCATACAATAAATGTAAAGCCAAATGTACGCGACGCAGAAACAAGTGCATGGTCATCTGGTGATTGTGCTTGATAAATAATTTCTCCATTTCTCTCTTCAGACATAACTGTATGACAAAGAGACAATAATGTAAAAAAATTATGTACATCGTTGTCATTTTGTTCTATAGCATCCAGTAACTTTTTATCATACCATTCAAAATCACTATCTTTTTCTTGAAAGTCAATGGCTTTTAATTTCTATGACATAATTCAATGAATTTATAAATTAGGATTGATTAAAAACTAAATCTTACCGCGAGATCTTGTACTTCATTACCAGCTTCATCCATCACATAACCGTAAAGTTTGCCTCGTACCGAACATTTATTAAATGTCATTATATTCTAAATACAATGACCAATGAACTTCATAAATTAAGAAAAATAAATCCAACAACAGTATTTTTTTTATGCATCTATTTTCGAATTTTAAATAACAATGGAAATCATAACATCAAATTAAACTATTTTTTTTTTGAATAGCAATAAGCCTAGGAAAAAATATTTTTTAATCTTTAAAATGGATATTTAAAATTAATCTAATATTAAGAATAGAACTTCGATCATTTGATTGACAAGTTACTGAAGAAGAAACAATAATAAGATTTTAGATTTATAAAGTGCTCTAGAAAAATTGAAAGAATATTTTGGATAGCCTACTTCTTGAGAATGAAAAAAGTAAAACACTTATTAATATTTCTGACTCTTGTCTCGCCCTTTTTCACTTGGTAGGCCTATATTTCTTAGTTCTGTACTATTTATGAAACTTTCAAAATTAAAACAAAAGAAAAATATTGACATTTTGTTCACACTCATCCTCAAGTTGTATTCTAACAAATAGTAGAAAAAAATGTATTGTGTACGAATTAAACATAAAGTCTTTGTTTTTTTTGTAAAGTATTTTAACAGCGGATATTTTTCTTTAAAGAATGAACACACATGAATATCCGATATTGGTTTACTACATACTTTCACTACGAATAAGAGGACTCCATGAAATTAAGAAAACTAGAAATAAGCTTGAGTCCATGATTTAACTAGCTAGATCATTAACTATTTTAGTTGTTTTTCAGGTTGTGGATCCGGATATTTATGGAGAACTCATTTACAAGATGTTCAACTCAAATGTTATACTACTAGAACTGATCAAAAACTTCAGCGCAAATAACTTTATTCTTTTGAGACATTGAATGTCTAAGACAAATCGATTTAATAGCTTTCCTTGTTATGACTAAGCATTCATTAAATATTCTATACAATTGCAGAAGAGAAGTTGAACTCGTCTATCTCTTCTTAGACAATGGATGAGACTGAAGTCTTTTCGTGTTTTCTTATATTTACTGAGTCCTATTCATAATCAAAGTGTATGTGGTTGAACGGTGTCTGACAGGTGGATATGCTTTCTCGTACGTGACACATGTTTTTTCAATTTATTATTAACGCAGGATTTGTATCATGTTGCATACTGTAAGTAGATGAGGACTACATTCATATAAACGAAAGAATTGGGAATATAGTAATCATTTTTTTATAGTTTTAGTAGTTTCTTCGAAACCATAGTATTTCTTCATGTAAATTAACTAGACAAAATTTTTAATTCTTTAATTACCTGTGTCAATGTTCCTGTTTTATCCGAGAAAACATATTGAATTTGTCCTAATTCTTCATTTAATGTTGTTGTTCGAGCTTGTGCTTGTACATTATTTGGTTCATAATACATTTTATTATCCCAATCAATCCATTTCGATTGTATCAAACGTATAATTTCTAGACTGACATAAAGTGATATGGGCACAACAGTATGTAATATAATAACATATGATAAAAAATTTAATAAACTTATTTCAAGTGCACCAATCTGCTGATTAGTAGATATATATGTTTCCCATGGNAGTTTTAAAAGAATTTCGTCTTATACATTATCGAAGAAAAAGACGTGCCCGCTCCTCCTCTTTCGATTGGTGAAAACCGCAGGTAGCTAGGTATTGCGGTTGTCGAGTTATTGAGCTTACATTCACCCCTCTTTTATTCTGGCGCGGTCATTAGTGGATGCGGTTCAGATAATATTATTCAGCTATTCTGTAATGATTTATTGAGTGGCCGAAATTTTCACGCTTATTACGTTCCTTTTTCCTTCTATGAATGTCCTCTCTAGTAATGACATACTTTGCAGCATGTAATCTTTGAGCCCATCGTTTGTAATCGGTCTCATTCAATTCTTTATATGCTAAACAAAGTTTACGTAAGCCATCCATTGCAAGTTTCTATAAAAGATAAAAATAATAATCATAAGGCCAAAAAAAAATCGGATAATTCATTCGCATATAAATGTTCCTCTGGTACAGACATTATATGTTTTTCTAATGAATCTAAACGTTCCTTTATCTTAGAATCAGCTCCTTTGCAATATAAAAATATTTTGCCATTTTTTCTAACAATAATCTATAAAACACAAAAAGAAATTATGCGAAATAAATTATCCAAAGAAAAACTTTTTTTTAAAAAGACGCACCGACATTCGTTTGCGATCATTATGAAAATCAAGATTTTTCAATAACTTATATCTTTCTTCTTTATTTCCAAAGCGAACTGTAATACAACTTTGAGTACGACCCTAATATAGAAAAAAAACCATTGGTAAACATTTTTTACGTTTTTCTTTTTGAAAAATCATACAATAAATGTAAAACCAAATTTACGTGATGCAGAAATCAGTGCATGGTTATTAGATGATTGTGCTTGATAAATAATTTCTCCATCTTTCTCTTCAGACATAACTGTATGATATAGAGATAATAATGTAAAAATGATGTGTGCATCTTCATCATTTTGTTCGATAGCATCCAATAAATTTTTATCGTAACATTCAAAATCACTATTTTTGTCTTGAAATTTAATAGGTTTTTAATTTCTATCCCATAATTTAATGAATTTATAAAAAAAGGATTGATTACAAACTAAAACTTACTTCAAGATCTTGTATTTCATTGCCAACTTCATCCATCACATAACCATACAGTTTGCCTTGTATTGAACATTTAATGTCATTATATTCTAAATACAATAGACCAATGAACTTAAATAAAAATATTTTAACGCGTTTTGTTATTCGAAAAATATTCTTCATTTTATTTTACATTAATACTCAAATTAAGATGATATTTAATATTGGTATATTCAAGTACATCCAATTGTATTTAGTATCAGAGAGCAATTGACAGAAGTCTTTTCTTGCATATTTAACATTTTCAAGTAATAACAAAACTATAAGTTTCTTTTGCAACATTACTATTGTCAGATGCTTTTCTTTAAAGAATTCAACCAGCTAGAGCATTGACTACTTTAGTTATTGTTCACTTCGTGGATCTGAATATCCAATGAGAACTAATTTATAAGACGTTCACATCAAATGCTATATGTGTATGGAACTTATTTTGTTACTACAACTGCTTAATTGTAATATTTCTTCATGTAAAATAACTAAACAAAATAATTAATTCTTTATATTTACCTATATTAATGTTCCTGTTTTATCTGAGAAAATATATTCAATTTGTTCTAATCTTCATTTAATGTTGTTGTACGAGCTTGTGCTTGTACATTATTTGGTTCATAATACATTTTATTATCCCAATCAATTCATTTCGATTGTATCAAACGTATAATTTCCACACTAACATAAAATGATAAGGGTACCACAGTATGTAATATGATAATATATGATAGAAAATTTAATAAACTTATTTCAAGTGCACCTATCTGTTGATTCGTAGATATATATATATATGTCCCATGAAACATAAATTCGAAAATGATAACCAACAGAGGATTTCCAAAGACAACTGCATATTGCCATTATCGTGCACATAATTAGTAAGAAAAGAAAAATCTAAATAAAATGTTTTAATTAAAAAAAAATAACAGAAAAAAATCTATTTTCTTACACTAAGAATAGTTCGGTTAAGCAAATGATTAATTTTAGTTCGTTTGAATTTTGCTTTTCTACTATTTCTCATTATTTTTGTGTCTGGACCAGCATAACAAACAACTTAAAATATAAATAAAAGAAAAAAAAAATATATATATCTATAAATATTACACTATTTATTTGAATTATTTCGTACTTCCAAAAGCCCATTGTGTATTTTTCAGTCTTGTTCCACGTAAAAGAATATTATCATTATTTCATGGTAATGTTTTTCCTTTCCATGTTAAATTCCCTGCAAAACGTCCAAGGTTATTATTTGGTGTTTCACATTGAATTTCCACTGAAAAACAAAGACATGAGATCAATTATATGTAAACTTTAATCTTCATGTTTCTACCATCAAAACTAGATAATTAATCAATATGATCTTCGAGACAGCATGTTTCTTCTAAAGTTACACGTTTTTTAAGATTTGTTTCTCCATCTAATTCAGCTGTTTCAATATAACAAAGACCATTATGTTCACTAGTTGATATAAGAACAATATCAGCCTAAAATAAACATTTTTATTTTCTTTTGCTTTTTTTTAATCTTCATAATTTCTTACAGTAATAAACTCATTATTTTCTAATCGTACCATATCACCAACTTTAATATCTTTCCACTTTCTAGTGACTAATTCATGTTCAACTACTGTTTTTGTTTCACGATTATTTATTTGATTATCACTTCGATGCCTTCTCTAAATCAATATAAAATCGATTCATACTTTAAAAGAATTCTAATATTCTAACGATATCATCAATAGCATCTTTGATTGCAGTAATCAATAATACGATACTAAGCGGTGCAATACTCGTACCAGGTGTTAATGAGCTAATTTGTGGAATAAACTCGAAGAAAGTTAAATGATGCATAATTTGCAAAGAAATGCTCAATCTTCTTATTTACTTGTAAACATAGAAGAAATGAAAAATAAGCATTAGCTAATCGCATAAATTGTTCGCAGAAATTCTTTGGTAAAAATGTATATTAAATTATACTTTGATGTTGATATTCGATTATCCTACAAAAAATAGAAGAAAATATTGAACTTCATTTGTCTTTTACTAATGATAAACACTTACGGCAAATCCTTCCATAGCATTGATATGATGATCATTAGCTCGAATTCTTCGAGTTTTCTCTGAAAACGAATAACATATCAATTTCATATATTAAATAATAATTTTATTAGACAAGCCCTCAATATTTTTCTTTTTGAAAAACAGTAAATGATTCATTGGTTAACAAGTTCAAACACTGGTTAATATTCTTCGAAAGTTTATGTCATTAATATCTTATTGATTGTTACACAACAAGAATTCACTTAAGTACAATAATTGAAGAAAAATAATAATCTAAAATAGAAACTCTTTATTGGATCGATCGTTATCAATAACCACTATGATTCAATTTAGTGGTGATGATAAGGTCTTTTTTTCTCCTAAATTGAATAAGAACAGCAGCGTTCGTCGTAATATATACATAAACTTATGAAAATATACTCACATGAACAAATATTTACAAGAAAAAACACATAAACATACTATATTATTGGTATCACAATAAACTACTTAGACGGAATGTACCAGCTCGTCATGGCTTTTTATTGTATAATGCAAAATAATATTGATAATACAAAGTTTCATGTAAAGTGAAAAAACTGGGATTCAATATACGAAGAATGCCAATGATCAATATAGTTAGAAAACTAGAATCGATTTATTATTCATATCCGATTGTAATGCATTTAATTCTTTTTTTCTTCCCCTTTGTTTCAATTTTCAATACAGAAGAAAATGAACTAACTCAATCAAATATATCCGTAAGAATTTTCAGATTTTTACATACTAAAGAGAATATTTTCTTCAGTTTAACGTCTACTAATAAAATGGCCACTGCTTTAGCAACAAATTACTGAAAGAGTTTTCAATAAATTCTATACAAATCTATAATACACTCAAGTTTTAAAATAATTTATTAGATCTACTGATAACTATTTCCTTTCTTTGGAATTTTTAAAATAAAGGCAGAAGTTTTTTATCAATGTAATAGTACAGTTTTATTTTGTTTTTCTCTTTTTTTTCCAGCTTACCTTGTTTTTTTCATCTAAGTAGTAATAAAAAACTAAAGAAGAGTAGAAAAAACATAAAATACACGAAAAGAGCATGAATGTCGGCGGCAAGTCATTTGCAAACATTACCATTCAATGTCAAAATAAATAATATAAACGATAAGGTTTAAGTATCAACACTTTCACTAACGAAATTACAATAGTGGTGCAAAATGATATTTAAATATTCGTGAATGTAACATTTTACATGTATTTTTACTACAGCTGTCATCAGACCCGTGTTACTCCTCTTCAATTATTGATATGATGAGTAAAAGGGAGGAACGGAAGAAAGAAAAAAAAAGCTCAGAATGAAGAGGAAAAAAGGTCCTTTTAATAGTGTGCACATGATACATCACTAGTACAGGCAGACTTGCTCACAAAATTTATGAGTAATATTAGTCATGAAATAGAAAGTTTACTTCCTAATACCTAGTATTCATGGAAGATAATAAAACATAAGAACAACATTGACTCATCATTTTTTGAACCATGAATAAAACTTTGTCACATATATATATGAAGCAGAGATGTCCACAGGGAGCTTTTTTCCGTCCTGCCATGTCCTACCCTGAGGAAAAAAGTGAATTATAAAAAAATTTGTCCTGCCCTGCCCTGTCCTACAGGGCAGGGCAGGGCACAGATAAAATTTCAACTTAATATTTTTAGTATGTTGTAACATCAAAAATTAAATATTTCTCAGAGTAATATTGAAAGCCATTTCTCAGTCATTCATCTCAATTCAAAGACATGGCTAAGGTAATAAAAAACACTAAGAAAATGATAAACATAAGAATGAAGATTACGATAAATACAATTTCAATATATAAGTTCAAGTAGTGATTTTATTTTTCTAAGTAATAAGAAAAAAAGCTTGTTAGCGCAGCCCCTTTGGGGCTGAAATGTGGAACTCACATATATTCTTTGCTTTCATAATACTAATCTCAAAATATGCAATATTTTAAAACTCTAACAGATAGTAGTTCTTTTCTAAAGATAACCGATTATCAAAAAATACTTTTTCTTTATCTCTATATTTCAAACAGAAATTTTTTCCTTTTTTGACGAAGTTGCTATGGTCTGTAATGGGGGCCCGTCTGTAAGGGGACGGGGAAGGGGGGAGCCGCGAAACCTTGGACTTAAAACTTACACTCACTATTTTCTTTGAAAATACATGTGAGTTCCACAAAAAGAGACATAATTAACAATAAATAAGAGTGAGTCATAAGTCAGAAAGAGAAACAGTAAAAAACAGAAGTTTATTTTTTGTTATTGTTCTTCCATTCGTTTCTACTATTCTCATCGGAATGCATATTTACCGTCCAATCACGATTAGTCTTGTGACCAGCTGATAATATCTTTCTTATTCTTCTATTATACCTCACTTTTTAAGTAAATGAAAAAATTTTTGATACAATGAAAATTTTGTGTCCAAATTACCAGGGCACGAAGGCCTTGCCCTGCCCTGTAAAATAGCAGGGCAGGGCAGGGCATTTTTGAAAATTTGGTCCTGCCCTGTGGACATCTCTGCTATGAAATGATTATTGTAAGTAAGATATGTTTTGTTTATATTATGTTTTCTTTCGATTTAATCACTAAGGAATAATTTATGTACACAAGTGAATTGAAAAATAATGATTTTAAAAAATTGTTATCAAATTGTAAAACTACTGTAAAAATCAATAAAGAAAATAATATTTTGTTGAACTAAATTATATTTTGAAGAGAAAACATATATGATTTGATGAGAAGTTAAAATTTACCTGATATCAACGATACTCATGATGAATCATATTCAATCGTGTACACATATTATAACATGAACATAAAATTGTCAAATTATCAAAATTGTTTAGAACGCGATAGATAAATTCAATAAATAATATCTAAATTGATGAAGAAACTGGATTAGGCATAAATGTCTTTTGTTTTCAAACATCATATTCTAGTTTAATGGATACCCGTTGAAACTTGCTTTTCTGCATATTAATATATTTATTGACTAAATGTCATTGACTATCATCATGCTTGACTGATTTTTTTTCTTACACAGATATACCAAACAAGTACATTGTGAACAATCCAATCAAAAAGCAACTTGGTAAAGGTAGATGTCAATATATTAAATATAATACATTATCCCGAAACTTATATGAAACTTTCATGTAAGTATATATATGTAATTGTTGTTATTTCATCATTATAATGCATCACATTTATTATAATTACCGATCAAATAAACACATTTTATGGTGGATGTTGCAAACTTGATTTATTACTTATAGACATTTTAAACCTTTTGTAAATTCAGTTTTTAATGCTTCGAGTAAATATTCATTTCCTTTTTTCCTTCTCAACACAATTATGATACACAAAAATGTAAAAAATAATACTGTTACTTCCAACATCAAAAAAGAATAAGAAAAAAACCTGTCAATTTAGCTTCGCATATGATTAACTCTGTTGTATCTTGAAAGTAATGTCGATATTCTCTACATAGAGGGAATAGTAATTTTATGAATATGTAAGCCAACGCTGAGAGAAGGGTACGTGGGTATGAGTAGATATGTATTTTAGAATTGAGTTTGGTGTTAGATGAGGACAGAATCAGTACCCACAGGCACACTTCATACTTCACATCCACCCATATCCTTTATCTATCTATATGAATCAAATTTTCTTTTAACTTTATATTCAATCAAATATCATCTTTCTACTCATTTTTAATGCTGAATCAGAAGATAGTGTTGTTAAAAAGTAAACAGAATAAAAATTTGACAATTTCTATACGAAAAGTAAGTTCATGGTCATCAATTTGACCTTATCAGTAATATGAGATTTAAAAAATTTTAAAAAATCGCTCAATTTTTGCCTTTTTTGCATCTTAAGGTGTTTTTCTACGATCTATGGAGTGACATAAGGAACTGAGATATGTCTCTTTCGATCTTTCTTCATATTCATTGTAACATATTATAATCCATATCTTCGTTCGTTATGATTATGCATCATTCACAGGACGTAACTATTAAAACTTTAATTGTACTACTAAATTGTCTCATTTAGAATATAAGCAGTCCTCTTCTGTTTCTGTGCATCTATAAGAAATTCAAGTAAGAAATCAAAACACCGTTTAACTTAAATTTTAAGAAAATCATTGATTGACTTCAGATGAAATGATTTCAAATCCATCTCATCTAAAATATATACAAAGTTTTGAAATTATTAAGATTTCACATGGATCAAATAATATTTATATCGAATAGAATAACTTGAGTTAATTTCAATAGCATTAAAATCGAAGCATGATCAATTTTTAAATGAAGGATATATTCAACTAGAATCATCATATTAATCGACATATTACAGAACGATTTCATTCAATAGTATATTACGGTCTTGTAAAAAAATATTATTTTCTAGAAATTCTATGACGTTCCTTGTAATATTACCTTACATTTTAAAACAATGTGCATCTTAAACATAACAAATGTTTCATACATCGTATTTTTGTATGATATAACTCCCTCTTCGAAATAGTGATAATCATTATGAGTCGTTCTTTTATTAAAGAAAAGTACACGATAAAAAATATTGTTTAATAAAGGAAAAAGACAGTGTGCACATTAAAAACTAGTCGAATTTTTTGATATTTATGTAGATATATGTCATTTGACGATATTTGATCCAGTTTTCTAATAATTTTTAATAGAATACAATAAATTGTGCATCAATCGATGCAACTCGGTTAGATTCATCGAGTAGTTGTTTTCAGAATGTCGAAATAAATATAATCAAAGAAAAATGTTATGCCGAATATATAAACGAAAAATTGATTATTTAGAAGTGTAGAATACCTTCTTTTTGCTGTTCTTTTTTCTCGTCAGAAATACTTCGCTTTCGAAGATATACCACCAGACCAGGCTATTGATGACGAACCGAACAATATATAATATGTTTATAATTAACTTTCATTTGATTAAGATATTCAACTGTATAGAGGACGGGACACAGTGAATGCATATACATGTATATATATGTGACTTTTTCAAAAATTCGTCT